ACGAGCCTGCTGCCAGATCACACTGCTTGGCACATGGGTGAGGTGAGCAGGTTGCTTCTGGATGGCTCGTAGATGTCTAGTGCAGGCACTGATGAGTTTGGAAAGTCCATCACTGGTGATGCCAACAGCTGGCAGCGAGTAATACGCACTTGTGGAAACACATGCTCGCCGCAAACGGTGTCTATACTCCAGACTGAGTTGGTGGTGGCCATTTAGGGGTTTTCGAAGGGCTTGGTACTTGGCTTGGCCCGCCTTAAGCCTATGACTAAGATTTTCATTTAGTCTGTGTTTGTATGTGACCTTAGTGCCAAGATACTCATGAGCCTCTTTTGATGGGAATAAGCTGCTCTTGACCCTGAACTTTGATGATGAGATATCTAGTGCCATTTTTCATCCTAGTGCTCTCATGCAAAATGTTTTTGGCTTGCTTGCCTTCAAGTCTCACCAGGATCGCCGTTTTGCCATAGTTAACCTTCATTTTGAAGGCAAGAAGAGCCTCAAGGACAACAGTCATATGTGCAAGTGCTGCATCCCAGTCTTCTTTATGTCTGATTACCCACTGGCACCAATGATCGTCAGCAAAGAGAACAAGCACACGTTGCAACCAATCCTCCCCGAGTTTTCCAATGAGAAGGTGCATCAGGGCTACCGTGTAGAAGGACCATAAGAAGGGTGCGATACGGCATCCTTGTTTCAGACCATTTGTTGTGATCTGACTGGCAACCTGATCCTCGGATCGGAAGACATATTGCGCATCTCTGTGCAATTGCTGAATGATGGTGATGGTGTCTTGCGAGACACCATGTTGGGCAAGTGTTTGGTAGACAATCGGGCGGTTGGTGAGATCATAGGCACGCGAAAGGTCAAGCGACAAGCTAAGTCCCCCCACACAGCCGTGTTTTCGTTTGCCAGCGAATTGCTGAAATCTGTCAACACGATTTTCTCTCAGTATGGCACTAACCTCCTCAAAATGCAAATGAACCCTCAACAAGGCATCGAAAGTGCCCCTTTGTCGTGCATAAGCATACTGCGGGAGATTTTGGATTAAGGGGAGAAGGGTGACAAGCAGAGATTGACGAACCAAGCCCGCGATGATCTTTGCACTTGGGCACTGCAACCCAATCGGGCGTAGGTTTTCCACAGATGTTGCAGGCTTACTGGGCTTAGGTATAAGGGTAATGTGGGCATCATGCAAATCCTTTTCAAGACAAGCGGGGCCTTCGGCGCGAAAATGTCGCCGGATGTGTGTGCCCAGCAGCGGAGCATTAGCCTCCGCACAAGTTTTCCATAAAGCTGCAGGAGCCATGCCAACAGGCACAGCTTTGTACATTCCAAGTTTTTGCAGCTCGTCCCGGACCTCGGCGTCTGTGCAAAGCCAGTTCTCCTGCATTGGCAGAATGACAGGTTCATCCGGCATGGCACTGAAGGTGTCCTTGGCATATTGAAGCATGGCCTGCAGAGCTGCTTCCTTGCCCAAGACGTGACCATCAGGATCACGAAGTCTGGACAGGAGTTTGGGGCTACGTGGCGCCAGGCTTCGCACGATCTGATGCAGAAGGCGTTGGTTGCCTTGCTGGGCTGCACATTCAGCTTCCTCAAGCTTTGCAAGCATGGAAGCCTTCTTGAGCTGTCGGCTCTGTGTGCGAAGTTGTCGCGATGCCATGGCGAAGGCACATGCCGCCTTCCACTTGAGAAAAACCGCATGAGGAACCGCTACACTGGCAGCTTTCAGATCATGATAATGTTGCCAGGTCAGCTTGGCTGATGCTGAGGAGGGCTGTGCACTAATACGGTTATCAGGCGGAGGTCGGCTGGGAAAGTATTTGGCTGCGGCAGTAACGAGAGTATCATTGATGCATCTTCTAGCCGAAGCTAGGTCTGAGGGTTGAGCAGCATCGAGCTGCTGGGCCACATCCTGCTGCAGGGCTCGGGCCTGCGCGGTGTCAGTACTGAGTGCAAGTAGAAGATCCGGTTTGCTGTATGCAGTAGCAGGAGTGCAGCCTGCTTGTGGCCGTCTGTTGAACGGCACAACAGCAATGGCAGCTTCGATTGGCCAGTGGCCTGCATTCGAATGGGCTTTTACAGGAAAGGCATAGTTGGGTGCAGCATGCCGGGCAGAGCCTTTGGCATCACTCAGCTTGGTCATCACAAAATCAATGCGGGTGCGGCAGGTGGATGTCTCATACGTGTGCCCTGGCTTGCTGTGCCAAGAGTTCAAGACACACAGCTCATGTTGCTCCACTAATCTATGTAGCGCTTTGTCGCCTGATTGCCCAGCGGTCAAGTGGGAGGTGCCAATGTAGGGCCGCTTTGCAGCCAGCTGGGCATTGAAGTCACCTCCAAGCAGAAGCGGGTTGCGGCTGGGCAGTCGCTGCAGTACACCCGAAAGTTTCTGCAACACTTCTTGACGATACTGCATGTTCTGCTCCGACGACAGGTGGGTGCGCTGCACGTGCTGATATATACCAAGGATGTCCAGGCTGAGCTGACTTTGCTTATGTACGGCCCTAGTGTGAAGCAGGCGACCTGGGCAAAGCTCTTCCACAACTGGGTCTTGAAAGGTGGCTTGATTCAGCATGATAAGGATGCCAGCATACCTATCAGGGCCTAGCTTGGCTTCGTAGCCCGACGTGTGGGTGCAAAGCCACCTCCCACTACGAAAGTCACTGCTCATCTGCCAATGGGTTTCTTGTACAATCACAGCATCAAATCTGTTTTGTGTATCAAGCCAAGCCACTAGTTCTTGAAAACTCGGTCCCGACAACCCCCCAGCATTCCAGCAAAGAAGCTTAATCATGGGGTGTCGTGTCGGTCTCGTAGCCCTAGGGGTTCTGTACAATTGGAGGGCTAATGAGGATTCAGATTTACAGGTGGATGCTTGCAGGGAGGTTGAGGTATGCCACTGCCCTCTATACCAGGTCCCGCCTGCAAGCGACTTGGCGGCACGGTTCCTCGCACGACGGAATGCTCTCTTGGTGGCTTTGGGAATTAAGGATCCTATATTGAGGCCGTCTCTGGGCGCACTGCCGTGCAGCTTCCCCCGATCGGATGATCGAGGTCCCCCACCTACCACGGCATTAGGTGGAACCCTCGCTCCAGCTGCAGATGATAGCTGAGTCAGGCTGATGAGTGCTAATCTGCAGCCAGCGGACTTGGGACCGCTGCAGCCATTACCTGACGGTGAGTTTCTGACATGGTTCATTGGGTGCTTATGGGGGTTACTGGGACTATGGCCTTGGAGGCACTTCCGCTGCGGAGCAGGCTGCGTGTCAGCACTTGGTGCACAGGCCGCGCTCCATGCAGAACGCCTGGGGCATAGTGGGCCAGAGTTCTTAAGTTGCGGAAGGTAAGTAGGGTGATGGGCTTTAAGCTGTCTGGGCGTCCTACGGGATTTACCGGGACCACAAGAGGGCTTATGTGGACTAGACCCCCAAAAGGGATGGGGCGGAACGAGGCGCAGGTGCCTTCGGAATCGTCTGGCTCGCAGGGGCGGTGCTCGGTACGGAGCAGGTGTGCTCGGCAGGTTGCACCGGAGGGGTTCATTCCTCCCTGGGTGCATGTCCTTCCTCAACATCAAAGGCCCTCCAGTCCAGCAGACGAGATCCAGTGAGGATGCGTTCAGCCATGTACTTGGTGGCTGACCAATCGCGTGCTGCCAGGTGCCGTCTCGTCCAGCCGACTCGTGCTCCCAGGGTGCGGTTTGTGGCTCCGTGCATGGTGGCCAGAAGCTCCCGACGATGAAGGTTGACCAGTAAGTCCTTGCCCGTTCCAAAATAGGTCCCTGTAGCACCAAAGACACAACGCTTGGAACCTCCGTGGAGCCGGTGTTGGCCGAAGTGGTCGAGTCAGAGGAGGCCTCGCTGCTGGAGTCTTCGATGTCGTCCGAGTCCACGTCCAGCTGCAATGGTGAAGGGTTTCTTCCATAGATCTTGACTGCCGGGCCCACATTCTGTGGCTGAGGTGGAGGCGGTCCTCGCGGTGCTTCTTGCTGCCATCTGCGACGGCGAACCCGTCGCCCACGATCAGCATCATCATTAGCGTCGCCCACATCTTCAATGGGATCACTCGCAGCAGCGGACTGTGCAGCTGGCTTCCGCATCTGCACGCCATGAGGGCCCATCCAAAGGCAAGCCAAAACAACACCCCAACACCCCGAACAACACCCGCCACAAAGCCCCGAACCAGAGCCCTCTACGGGGCACCACTCACAGTCTCGGGCCGTGGAGCTTCATCATCATCATCATCATCATCAAGAGCGTCACCGTCATCCACATCCTGGGTCATCATCGTCATTATCGTCGTAATCATCATCGTCATCATCCCCTCATTCTAATCTCATCCTCATCCTCATACTCATCCCCCTTGTCATGATCATCAGCATCACCCGCACAACCATTAGCATCATCGTCCTCGTCTTCGTTCTAGTCTCATCATTCACCATCACCACCATCACCACCATCACCGCCATCACCACCATCACCACCATCACCACCATCACCACCATCACCACCATCACCACCACACCAACCATCACCACCATCACCACCATCACCACCATCACCACCATCACCACTATCGCCACCAACACCACCAACACCACCAACAGCACCATGATCACCATGATCACCATGATCACCATGATCACCATGATCACCATCACCAGCATCATCACCATCCATCGCCACCATCACCGGCGCCACCATCATCATGACCACCATCATCATGATCGTCGTCACGATCATCATCAAGATCATCATCAGCATCACCATCATCGTCATCGTCATCCTCATCCGCCTCATAATTATCATTGTCGTGATCATCGCCACCACCACCATGACATCATCAGCGTCATTATCATCAGCATCAACATCAACATCATCAAGTCAAGTAGTGCCCTGCACTGAAAAACCCTTTGCATCGCTTTCCGGAGCTACATGTGGTCGTAATGGGGCTGCGACATGTCATGTTGACCGCACATTGGGTCTTCCCTGCCAATCGAGGCCGTTTGACGACGAGCGCCGACAGCAGTTGATGTCCAGGAAGTTGCAAGTGTTTTGGTTTCATTTTGCTCCATCGTCAGCTCTGACAGGCTTGCTGCGCTTCTGCCAGACACCTTGCCGGAGGACACACCGAGCACCTTTGCCCCAAAACTATGGACCATCTCTTACACCCTCTTTAGGGTTTAGGGTTTAGAGTTTAGGGCTAAGGGTTCAAAGTCCAGGGCTACGAGATTTTCAAGTCCCATCATCATCCGAGGCTCCCAGGTGGAATGCGTAGCTTCTCCGAGGGTATCTGCACATAGCCCTCAGCCTGCCCCGAGCACGGAACGTTTGAAGGTTCAGGTTTTGGGGCGTAGGGGAGGGTTGAGGGCTCAAGGTTGAGAGCTCAAGGTTGTGAGTTTGGGGTTTAGGGGAAGGTTTAGAGTGTAGGGTATTGAATTTACAGTAGGGGTTAAGCACCCAAAATCTAAACCCGCTAAACCCCGGCGCAAGCTCGCTTAAGCTTAAACTCAGTGGATCCTTGTCCACCGTGCCCTCAGTGCGGTTGGAGCATGTTAGTTGTGTTAGTGTTTGCTTTTTTCAGGTAACCTGGCCATGTCCCAAAAGGTGCGTAAGACGGAGTAGCTTATCCGGGCTCCCAATGCAAGAAACGAAACTGCGTTGCACATCGTAGCGACTCTTAGGGCGCATTCTATTTCAAGTTTACGCCGTCAGGATCATCATGGGCCACTAATTGTCACCAATACGTACACGAATGTGGACCGCTGGCCTGAATGTATCCCTGTTACGGCCCTGACAGCTGCTTTTGCCTTCCATTCCGTGTGCCAGCACTCCATCCCTTGATGCTGTCTGAAATCCTCACGAGCTCGATCCGGCAGGACGTCTTGAAGAAGAAGCTGGAGCCCTTGAGATTGTGAAGTGTTAGCTCCTTGGTGCAAAGATCACCATAGCCATCATGGCCGTCCCAGCGGCTGCATGACGGCACTGGATTAGCTTCTGTGCAAAAAGCACTCCAGGTTTCAAAGTGTTCAGCACTGCGGCTGTCCAAGTGGGATCTCCTGGAAGGATGCAATAAGAGGCATGCCAACTTCTTTCTATGTGCAGGAGAACAAGTTTCTGACCATTGTCTCGGGTGGTCACAATCCGATTCGCGATTATGTTGCGGCGATTCTGCAGGTGCTTGCGTTGCAGCTGTTTCAGGGTTGGCCAAAAAGCACGCTTGCATGAGGCAGCACACACAGGTCGAGCTGCGGTCTCAGCGGCAGCAAACATCGTTTGCTTGGTATGTTGTCGCCCGCTGAGGTGTGCTTGCGCGCAAAGCTCAAAGCTATTCCAAAAGCAATTTCTGTGGCTGAGGTTGGATGAGAATACTTCATGCCTTCAGAGTGTTTATGCTTATGCCTTTGCACATGTGCAGAATGGCAGACCCTGCACAGAGGTGGCCATGCGGTGCGCAGCCGACAATGGGTTTCAGTGCACTTCAAAGGCCAATGTCTCTTCTGCCACACGAACACGGGTTCGTCATACTAGTACTCCTATTGTCGGTTTGTTTGTTTGTTTGTTTTTTTGCACGACTGATGTTCTGCATGCGTGTCTCCTGGGGGGGTGGCTGGACGTCGGTCCTGATGTGCCCTCTGATGGCAATCTTAGCATGCTTTCCGCCTTTTTCCGGGCGGACCAGACGGACCTTTCCTGTCCTAAGGTCGTGCCTTTGTCTGGGGGAATCGCTGACGAGTTGGTGTTGTGCTTTGGCCCAGCTTGCCACCTCGGATCTCGCCGCTCCTTAGGACCCGCCTTTCTGTGGCGAAGCTCGGACCGAACAAAAACCCACTAGGAAGCTGCTGCCCCGAGCACAGGCCTGTCTCAAGAAGGCCGATCTTTTTTTTGAGGAGAGGCTTGAGAACGATGCTTGGGGAAAAGTGAAAGGGAGCCTTTCACAAATCGGGCTGCTTCGCCCGACTCCTTTTCTCCTCCCTGCCCTCGACCGATGGGGTTCCGTTTTCATTTCCTGCAAGTGAGAGGCGTTTCCGCATACATTCCCGACATGCTTGCTGCTCGCGGCTGGTCCGTTGGCCGTGGCTTTGCTCCTCACTATGATCTCTTATCCGAGGCTTTGTTCCTGTGGCTGATTCATTTGCTGGAAGCCGGCAAGCTGGATTCTCTTCTACTGTCCCCTCCCGGCTCGACTTTCTCCTCGGCTGCGCGACCGCCTTTGCGCACTTTCCGTGATCCGCATTGTGTTGGCGCTCAGGCAGATCTCCTTGATCAGCTTCGCGTACGGTCTGTATGTGGCGTTGCCCTTCGCTCATTCAGGGGCCTTCGCTTTGCCCCTTCCTGCCAAATGCTGCCCTTGCCTCGCTTCCCCGGCTCCGCCGCTGGGAGTGTCCAGTTGTGTGTCACTGTGGGGTAGCGGCAGCGTTGGTGGCAATGGTTGGCTTCCAGTGTTGGTGGGTTGGAGAAATGGCTGTTGTCGTTGTTGTGGATGTGCGGCCGGTGAGAAGCGCTGCAGGCTGCGTTGCATCAGTTCGTTGCGGTCTTTAGGGTCCAGCGTCGTTGGTGGTATCGTCGGAGATGGCTGCCTTGCCCCATGCCTCGCGCATCCCTGAGCCTACAAATGACGCGGGTGTCTGAAGCAGCCTTGTGGGGGTCGCTGTTGCCACGTGGGGGTCGCTGTTGGCTATAGATCTGCGCGGTTACGGCGTAGCTGCCGGCCGTCTTGCGGGGATGTATGTCGCTGTCGGTTGTGCGCAGATGCTCTGGTGTCTCCGCCGTTGCATGGTCTTCCGTTGGTTGGTCAACGGCACCTCTCCAGTGTGTGAGTTTTCTGTCGGTGCTTGCCTGAAGCGAAAGGATGCACCCAAGTTTGTAGGACAGGTTCAGGGTTGAGTGGAAGGTCACAAGTAGTTTCCTTTGGGTGTCTGCTGTTGTGGTACAACTCATACAGACCCTCACGCGACACGGGGACACGTTGCTCATTTCCGTCCTATACAGCAGAACGCATCCTAACGAAATGTTGGACAGGGAAGTGCAAACGCGGGGGCTGCAAGGACTGCAAGCTCGCAGCTCGTACCCCTGAGCAAAGCACAGAGAGAGAGAGAGAGAGAGAGAGAGAGCCATTTTGGCTCAAGTCGCTCACCTGCCTGCTCCTCGGAGCGGGTCGCTTTTCGGCCGGCCCCCGAGACCACAGAGGGTTATCCCTGTGGGCTTGGGGGGTGGACGTGCCGAGGGCGGGGGGTGGCTTGAGGCCATTCGCCGTAACATGTCGGGCTCTCAAGTGCCCAAGGGGTCGCGAAGACCTCTCCTGAAATCGGCCCTCTCCGGAGGTGGTCCGGTAGTAGGGAGGGGCAACATATGGCAACATGCCACTTGATGGAGGAACTCAGAGTGAAGACGAGACACCAGGGGGAGAACCACATCGTTCAAAAGGTCAACAGCGAGATCAAGCTGCTCGACCACCTCTCCCTCGCAAGCGACCTCAACCAGACGCTAAAGCTGGACCAGACTGGACGGGGGACACGAAGCCCGGCATGAACGTGATAGTGGCAGGGACACCGAGAAGGCAAAGGACACCCGTGGCCGACGACGACCCAGACACAGCTGCAGCACCTCGAAGGCACAGGACACCAAGTGCCAACGACGACCCAGGACCAAAGGACGACGACGACACAGCTGCCGACTACAAAGGCGAGGCACCAGTGGCTACAAGTTTTGGGACATATGTCTGATGTACACCCCTGCAACTCGCCGGGGACACCCGGATCCGTGAACAACACCTCTGCCGCCGGTGGAAAAAGTGGACGCGACACTCTGAAGCCACCTAACTTACCTTTTAATTTGTGTTGAGGGGCACCCGCTCATTTCCATGAGCCCTAGAATGGTGTGCCAACAGCTTGCATAAGACTTGCATGGCCGTTAATTCAAGCACGTTTTTCCCCTCGTACACACAGCCTTTTGCATACCAGATTCTTAACAGTGCCGGTGCGAGCAAACAAACACCCCAGACGGGGAACACAGTTTCGGAGCACCCTTTGCTATGTAAAGCCGAGCCCATCCAAACAAAATGTTGGATGGGGTAGCGCTAACGCGCGGGGCGGGAGGACTGCTCTCGCCCTAGACCCCTAGCAAAGCAAAGCAAAGAGAGCAACCATTTTGGCTCAAGAACTGCACCTTTGCTTGGACGCCTGTGACGCACACGGGGGGTTAACCTGGACTGGGACTCCAGGGGAGCCTTCCCGTTTCTCCCAGCGGTGCTTGAGTCCTACGCCTGCTGCCATCTTGCTTAAAAACCCCACCGCGCCCGGAAGGAGGGTTTGCAATAATCGAGAACGGCAAGTTCGAAGTGCTACTTCACTGACGACCGTGACACTGCAAGCCGAAGCGGGGGAGACGCGCCAGCTCGCCATCCGCCTGCCTGACATGTTAGCCACAGCGACCTGGAAGCACCACCACGCTGGGCGGAGGACACCTTCGCCTCAGAGACCGTGACTTGGGCAAGAACGGTGACCTGGCAAAGATCACCTACGGGGAGACCATGGCAAGAGTGGGGGAGATATCACTCGAGCACTGAGAAAGTGCAGCAGAGGGCAGCATTAGGCCCCACAAGTTTTCAAGAGGACCTCAATCTTGGTGCAAATGCACGCTAATCCTGACGGGCCGCGGAGCCAAACACGCCAGAACTTACGGGCCACATAGCCCAACCGCTTTTGAGACTCTGAGGACGTACGCCCAGCACGGGGGACCCTTCCACCGTTTTCCTGTATGCCTTGCGATGCGATCTCCCCTACAAACTTTGATGACGTGTTGGTTCCGCTACCTGCCGTCCCGTGAATTACAAGCTGTTGTTGCTAGGATGAATGCGGGAGAGTAAGTAGAGGGCTTTAAACCAGCCTTTCTATGGAAGCCCGTGCTGCTGACGAGCGCATGTACGCGCTCCAGTTGTCTTCAGGAGTGTCCTCCTTAGTTCCGCTAGTTGTTTGTTGATGTTTATTGTTGAGCAGAACGGGGCCACCACTTTCTACGAGTTGGGGGAAACCGGTTGCTGGACTAGTGGGCGCGGGGACGAGGCCGGGATGCGCACTCAAGTTCAGGGTCGGGGGGATGACAAGCGGAAACCGCATTTCATACAGACCTTTGGATTGAAGACCAATCCACCCCAAAGCCTCTGCTCTCTGAGCCTTAAGAAGGTGGGGGACGCCTAGGGCGCGGGTCCAGCATGTTGGACCTTGACCCGCAAACAAGCAAGAGAGAGAGACAAAGAGGGTTGCACCCTCATGCTTGGTGAAAAAGAGACGGAGGGAGAAGGAGGGAGGGCGAGCAAACGAGAGAGATAGGCAACATAGAGCTACATCGAATCGTGTTTTTTTCCTTGCAATTCATTGCCACATGGCTTGCAAGCACTTCTTGGAGGCTGCCAGGATGAAAAGGTTGTCATTGTAGAGCTTCCAACATCATGAGTCGCAGCTGTATGTACAAGCCATGTGCAGTACAGGTTGTGAGTGTACCACGCACGCACACGCGTCAGGGTTACAGATTGGTACCGACAGCAGAAGAAGTCACTGGAGCTTGTGTATCGAGGGCGAGCTGCACAGGAGGTCTTTCATTTGCGTAGCTTGTTTCCAGGCCGAGCTCCTGGGAATGCGCGAGGACCGCGAATGAAGTCACGCACATATTGCACAACTCCGATTTGTTCTGAAGATGACTGTGCATATGTAAACATGACTCCAGTTCACCTTTTTTTCCTGCTGCGATCCAACTATGTTTGGTTAGGAGGGCGCCAACAGGCGAGGGGCCATCCAGGCGAGGAGTTTGTGTTTCGGATTTGACCGTTCCATCTCGCCCTCTCGTGCCGCAGATCGAGATCTGCCTGCAGTTTCACCCAGCAGAAGCCAATTCATAAGGACCATCTTCTACTGTGGGGAGTTTGACGGCCTTGCTGGGATGTGGCTTGTGCTTTTGGAGAGGATGCTGGGCTTTCCGCTTGCGCGACCGGAGCTTCACCCTTGCACGGAGCAATATGCAGCAAAGACTGCCCCATGCTAGATTCAAAAGGGTCGACACACTTGGGCATGTGAAGCGGGAACCACGTGCCGAGACTTGAGCAGCACCAGAGCGCAGGTCAAGTCCGACTTTAGCCGCCTACGGGCCGATCATGCAGACAGCCGGAAGTCAGTCGTTGTCCTCAACGAGGCTGCAAAGGGTTCTGGAGCTGTGGAGATCTGGTTCAATGCGTGCACGTCGGAGCCTGCACACGAGTTGTCCTTTCGGTATTGGGTTTCGGCATGATTCAATTATGCGAGGATGTTTTTGCCGTCGGCGACTGAGGTTATTATGTATGCATGGATGGATGTATGTATGTATCGCTAGCTGTGTTGCAAAAAAAGCATCGACCTGCCTTCGCTGCCCAACCACCCAATCCCAAAACCTCGAAGCAGCCCAAAGCATGGCACTGGTTCTCGGACGGATCGCTGCGCCCGCGCTCGAACGAGCTTCTCGCATCTGTGGGACACTTGGTGCTCCGTGCCGATCTACTCCCTGATGTCATGTGGCTCGTTCCAATAGCAGGAGGCGTAGAGCCAGCTTCTACTTTTGCAATCTTTCATGTGAAAAGTCACGCACGTGAGAGGTAGATACAGGCGTGTCGTTTTCCACAAGGCAAACAGCAGGTTGCGACACTTTCTGTCAACAGCACGGCTGTTATTTCGCTTTCGATGTCTGGGGTCTTCAGCTGCCTGTGAGCACACGTGCCAAAGATGCATCCCGATGTGCACGTAGCGATGGTGAGAATGTGCCGCCCCGAGAAGAAATTACCCATGGAAAGACGCGACTGAGTCCAAGTAATTCTCTAAGTTTACAGCTGAGGGCAAGATGTCTCAGATGCGGCCTGGGCCCTTGGGGCCCCTGGAGTGCTGGCGAGGAGGCGCTTGGGCCGTGATCGGTGAAGCTAAACGGCCGTTGCCGCGTGCGAGAGCGCTGGCATGTGCAAGGCCCTCCGCCACCCTTTGGAGCCGCGTACACTGCTGGCATCAGCAGCTTGGGCCGCAGATCATGTTGGGATGAGGCCAGCAGCTCGTCCTGCTTGACTTGGAGCTCAGGGCTTGAAGTTTTCGTCGGACCTCACAGACTTGATTGTTGAATGCGATGCTCATGTGATGAAGCGTTCGTAAGTTTGATCTCAAGCGGGTGCTGAACATTGCTGAACTGGGCATGTGTCATTCGTGTGTGATGCAAAACGCAGTGTCAGCCGAGCAGACAAGCAGATGGAGAAGTGCATGTATTGACCGGCCTCTCGTGACATCATGGCGGTTCCGTCGGGGCAGCAGCTGGCCAAGGCAGCCAGCTTGTGTCGGGTCATAGCGGCAGTCGGGTGAAGCAACACAGCCTAGTCAGGTGACAGCTAGCATCGACATGCTCGAGCAACAGCTGCGGAGTTTGGCAGACATGGCTGGAAGCTTGGAGCCCTCAGATGCGAAGGAATCCACCAGGGAGGTTATGCACAGTCTTTCTGCACTGGAGCATGATCTGGAAGCTGCGAGGGAAGGCTCCGCTCTCTGCTCTCCGCTCTGCTTTCTGCGTTTCTTCAGGTTCTTAAAGAGCGTTTGCGTCTTTGTCTTTGTTGACCTCTTATAGGCATTTCTCTGCAGAGGCTCTGGTGGAGCAGATCCCGAGCAGTGTCAAAAGCTGCAGAAGCGGATCGCAGATGCCACCACGAAGGCATCGAGGTTGCGAGCGACAGCTTCGAACAAGCATGCCCAGACGATGGAGCCCGTGCGAACTGAAGTGGCGCAAGCCGTCCTTGCTCGCCTCTCTAAGCGAAAGGACGAGGACGTTGATGTCTTTGCCATCGCGGATCAAGACAAGGATGGCTTTGTCTCACGCAGTGAGTTCCAGAACTTCGTGAACGATTGCCCTGGAAACTTTTCCAGGGATCAGCTTAACAAGCTATTTGACTATTTGGACGACTCTCGCATGGGCAGCCTTGAACGAGATGATTTCATGCGTTGCACGATCGTTTTCTATCGTGTTTCACGGCCAAGTGTTGATCTTGTGCAGACCATGGGTGTGGCACAGGGCAAACTGGTACGAAAACTTGATGTGAACGAAATTCTGGAGTTGCTAGAGGGCCCAATCAAAGAGATCAACAAAGTTGTTCGGGTGAAGTGCCGCGCAATGAAAGATGGCGCTGTCGGCTGGGCGACAGCAACTGGAAGCAATGGCGTTGTGTTTGTAGAGCAGAAGCGAGTCCACTTTCAGGTGAAGAGCCCCACAACCTTGACAGATGTGTTGTCAGCCAAAGCTTGCACCACTGTTCGGCAGCTGAAAGAGGGCGAGCTGCTGGAAGTGTTGGTTTGGGAGAGAACTGATCCTACAACAAGTCTCAGACGATTAAAGGGGCGGGCCCTGCGTGACGGTGCCGTTGGTTGGGCCACAATCGAAGGCAACAAAGGCACAATGCACCTGACCATGGTGTAGACACTGCGGATTGAAGAAGCTCTTTACAGCTCCTCTGGCCCTGAGCAGCGAGATGCACGGCCGCGAGCAAAGTCGATGAACCTGCACTGCCCGAATGTCTGGCATGTTGCTTGAGTATCACTGGCCCCTGCTTTTGTTCACCTGGCACGCAGGCGCTCGGCATGCTACTTGGTATGTGGGCCTCTTAGTTTTCCTGCACGTGCAAGAGAAAATGGGCAGTATGCGTGGGCATGTGTGCCTAAGGCCTGTCAATTCATTACAGGCGACATCGATTACACAAAATGCAGCAGCACCTTGTCGAAAACATGACGCAATGTCCAGTATGCATCGGGTCTATATCTCCAACCTCGGCTGGGTTGACATGTCTTGCGTGAACGGTGCAAACACTTCAAATCGAAAGCAGGAGCTGCCAGCTGCATATCCCCGCGGCACGCGGCAAGTTTAATTCATGCACTTCATCCGAAGCTTTCGACTCGTGCATCGTGGTTTCTGATTTGGGTGACTTGTTTCCGGTTCGTTTGTTTTGTTCGCAGTTTCTGCGATGGCTGGCTTCCTCATAATACTTCCGGTTTCCTTCTCGTTCTGCTGGGACTCTTGATGCTAAAACTTTTGCGTGGCCCGGGACATCAAAAAGCGATCGGCATCGAGAACTTTCCTTTACAAATCTAGTCCTTCGAGGACTTACTTGCCGGTGACAGGTGAAAGAGATGCCAAGGCTAGACGGCAAGGTCGGGGGGGCCATCTATGAACATTTCGAAAGCGGTCGGGCTATTGATAGGGCAAGTGATTAGAGAAAGGTTTCCACCAGAGGGGTGCGAACTGAAGCCATTGTTTCCAAGAAGGGTCTCCCTTTAGGAAGTATTTGCTACGTGCTTCTGGAGGGGTAATTTTGCAAGTCGCGTATATTCAGTTTCCACGTGATCTTTTAGACGGTTCATGGAACTGATTTCCAGCTCCCTCCACTTGTTCTGACCTCCAGAAATCTTTGCTCATGCAGGACAAAAAATTAGCCAAGTGATTTCGGAACTGATTCCTTCCCACCCCGTTCTCTGTCTCTGTCTCTGTCTATGTCGCTATCTATCTGTCTGTCTGTTTGTCAAGACACTTGGAATATCAACGGTAGCCTCAGTTCAAGGTGATTGTCCTGGTGATTTTGCAAGCGACTTGGGTACGTGATACGTGACTACCGGGATGCTACTCGACCACCTTCTTAACCAGCCTCGAAGTGCACTCGTTCCTTATGTTGCGTCGCATTGCCCGTTTAGGAAGGACTTTCTACGATCACGCGGAATCGAGGAACATGTGTTTCTCCGGAACGCAGGTCGTACTGCCAAGCTGCTAGTCATGGTCCTGTCGGGGCTTGGATTGGATTTGTCAACTGCAAGATAGCTTCGCTGCTCCAAAGCATGCTGCGCTGGTCGACGTTCCTTGTCTTTCAGGGAGAAGCTTGTTGGACATGCCTGGCCTCGGGGTCAGGTTCGAGATTGCTGGCTGTTTCCCGTGGGCTGTTGTGCTGCTTGGTTGAAGGGCAAAATATTGTCGATCTCCAGTTGCGGTGAGGCACCTCAGTGGCCGTATCAGAACGCGCCGAGACATTTTATCAGTCACAATTTTACACTCCGTAGCCTGGTGGTTTTTGGAGGAACTTTGCATGCTCGCACGCAAGACGTTGCAACGCGACAAGGGCGGAATGAGACTTGCCGGACAGGGGACCACGACACTCGTGCGCAAAGCGGAGGAGAGCCGCTTCAGCTGGTTGTGTGCATCGCAATGAGCTGCAAGGTGGATGCGTGTGCCAGGTCGCACAGGCCATTCTGTTGTCTGTGCGTAGAGAAGACGTGGTGCAAGGCGAATTTCAGCTCGTGCTTGTTCTAGACAGGTGGCGGCGTGGAGTCGACCTTCTGAGAGGTTATGAAGATGCAGGTTTACAGCACGACGTTTTTGTTCGGAGCTCAGCCAGCTGAGTCTTGAGCCTGCAGAGGAGCTGTCATGAAAGAGTGCAGGCGTGGACTCCAACCATCAGTGCCTTTGGCAGACGCCGCAGATGGAAGGAGGCCAAGGGCCAAGGCATCCTTGTCCATCGTTTGTCAAGACTCTGGGATGCCAGGCCATCTTACTGCTGGCGGAAGCTGCTTCCAGGAACCTAAGACCAACGGCTGGAGCCCAAGAACCAGTGGACGGCCGGACTCACTATCTCCCACAGTCTCCGAGGCGGTGACCATAGCCGCTGCTGCTGCAGCCAGTTGCTTAGGAGCACAGCAGCGCTCGTCGCGGTGCTGCACCACTCCTCGCCGTCTTCGCCCTTCGCCGTTCTCAGGCATTGGACAGAGGCGCCGAGCCAGCCGGGGTGACGGTGTGAGGGGGTCAGAGGCGCCTCCTCTCTTCGTTAGCACCGGAGGCTCCCAGGCCGAGGCGCTTCGGCTTGGAGCAGGAGCCCATAGGAGCCCAGGCTGCGGCTTTTTTGCGTTTGGAGTCGTCCCGACCCGCCGATTCTTCGGAGGATCCTGCTGGGCAATTGCTCTTGAACTGCTGACAGCGGCTCAGACTGTGCTGGTCACCAGAGCTTCTGAGTCGTCAGCAAAGTTTCCATGAGCCCGAAGGTACACCACCTGGCACTGGCAACCCAGCGTCGAAGGTGCCAATGCCGTGCGAAGCGCAGAGAGACGAAACATGTCGGCGTGCCGGAGTGACATGGTGGCATCTTCGTATCTCTGAGGGTATCAGCGCTTCCAGCCGCATGGGCCTCTGGCGCACGGCGTGAAGGCCCCGGAGGCAAAGGCACATGATGGTGTATGGCTCTTCCATGTCGCGTCTTTCCGCCTTTGAGGCTTGATCTTGTGCATCGTCTGCGCGTGAACCGCATGAGGCTAGGAAGCAGAAGCACACGTCGTGACCTGTTACCCTCTGCTGCTGTGAAATGCCGTGCGTTCAGAGGCCCAGTGAGGTGTCTTCGAATGCAGCGGCCCACGCAAACACAGGCTCCGCAGAAACCACTCGTGAAGTGAAGCGTCGTGGGCCCTGCGGAGAAGTGTGCAAGGGACGGGCAAGTGGATTCAAGTCGTGACGTTGATGAGCAGCACCTGGCTCAGCTTGGATCCGCAGCATCCGTTGCATTGTCCAGAACGGCGAGGTCTTTCAGAATCATTGCTGCAGCCGAACGTGGTTCACTGCTGAGTGAACTCTTGCAGAAACTGTGGCTTTTGCAGAAGCTTTCACAGTTTCCTCAGGTCAGCCTCGTAACGCTGTTGACCAGCATGGCCAGAGGGGCCAGTTGGAGAAGGTGCAGAGTGGCCCTTGAGCCTTCGGCAAGCTGCTGTCCCGGTTTTGAGGGCATTGGCAGCAGCGGAAACTTTGGCAACCCGCGGCCTTCCAGCCAATGCCTGTACCTCGGTGCTCTGCTGGCAGCTCAGCTGTTCCGCATAAAGCCTGATCCCTGATCCTGGGAGGCAGAGGCACAGAATACGCTGCTGCTTGCGGTCAGTCATTTCCTTAGTCAATGTTCGCATCAAGAAGTTCATGAGCACCATGCTGCTGCTCGACTTGCAGCATTGCAGGTCGAGGATCGAATTGGGCCGCTAGCCATGACGTTTGGTTGCACGCTTGAGGCGTTGCGGAACGCACAAGCACCCAAGGCTTTGGCATTCTCTCGGTGGACTGCATTCTGCACTGATGTGGTGCTCTCCCGAGTATCAAACCAGAGTCATGTGTCCTTGCTGGCATTGGAAGGCAGCCGTCAGCAGCGATTTGGCTCTACAAATGAACAGACTCTCAGAGTATTTTAGCTTGACCGGGTTTCCTTTCAATATCCGAAAATGACGGCAAAAGTACTCGAGCCGGGGCTTTTCCCGATATTATGTACATCGGTCCAGCAGAAGAAAGGATGTCTTGGAGCAGAAGCCTGGTCACCGCAGCATCGACAGAGGAGCCGAAGGAACACTTGCAGGCAATCTTCGGAAATAACTGTCGCCCTGGTCGACTGAAAGCTGTCCAGGGCTGCTGACTTCCGACTGCTTTCGGGGGACATCAGCGGTTTCCACAACCTGCGGACAGATAGCTACTACTATCCCATCTATGAACTCGAGCCGCTGACTGCTCCTTCCTCGTCGTGGCACCGGCCTCTCTAATGAGGCTTTCATATTCAGTCGGCCCCGTCGCAGCGCATCTCCCCCGGATTGTGGACCAGGCAAAAGAAGATCTTTTGTATTAGGGTTCTCTTGTCTACAGAGAGCAATCTCCGCCCCGCTATCTACCCTGTGATGTGGCTGGTAGACCCGAGCCGTGTCTTCGCGTTGCGCAGAGTGTTCGAACACGAAGCAGCTGCAGACACAGCTTCATAAGTGAAGCTGCCAAAGCTAGAGAAAGTTGTCGGCGATGCTCTCTATTGTTGACACAGCTTGATCTGGTACCGAGATTGTTCCGGTGGCCGAGGTGGGGACGAGTGCTACCATGCCATGGCCTCGACATGGGATCATAACATTGCGTTTTGCAATGTTCATGTCAAACATTGCTTACATGCCGCAGCACGAGCTCCAGGTCTGGATTTGCCACCAGTGGGTTTTGGGAAGCGGTGCCGCATCAAACTTGCATTGTGAGCTGATTGAACTGAATGAGACAGCGACGGGTATGCAATTGCAACAGACTTGGGACGGCAGGCTCTCAAGTTACTCTGTGCAGCGAACGAAAGGAGACTCGAGGTGGGCTGATGCCGTCGGGGCATGTTGTGAAAGGCGCCAAGCCTTAATTCAGCGGTTCATTGATGCCGCCATTGAGCAAGCGCAACCTTATGTTCAGACTCAAAATCTGCAGCGACCTCGTGCCTCCACCGTCTCCCAAAGATTCTTAAAGTGGACAGCTGGATTCCCACAGCTGTCTCGGTTTGATACTCTGGTCCTAACGCTGGCAAACCTTGCGTTTTGCGTGATACTCTGGTCAGGGGTAGCAGAGTCATATCCTGAATCTGAACCGTGGCAAGGAAACCGTGTGAGTCCTGGTTGACGAAAGTGATGCATCGCGATTCAACTCTACGCGGCCCGTTCCAGCTGGTATCAGCACGTCACAGGGCTCGCTGAATAAACCTTGCAATGTCCGAGAGCCTAGCGAACGCAGTGGTCCTACTGTGTTGCCGCACTAGCTCGCATGCCGCTTATGCCTTGCATTTTTCATCGCTCCAGGCCTCCGAGTAGGACTGCACAATCTACGTCGCACACCGGGCAAAACACCCCAAGCTCAATCGTCTCTGTCGCGGCTCGGAACCCAAGTTTGCTTGCCGGCGAAGACTCGCTGCAGGTGGCCACAGGTCCGGACATGAACGAAGAACACCTCAAAGCCTTAAAGTGTGTCCGGCATCCCAAACAAGGAGTGCGAAGTGAGCTAAGACGCTGAGCCTCGTTGAGCACAGAGCCAACGGTTCGATACCACGTGGTAGTCGTGTGCAGGTGCGTGGAACGTTCCCATGCAGGTCTTGTTCTGAATCCTGAAACTTCAGTCGAAGCATTACCACAACCTCAGTCAGCTGCGACGCCCGAAGCTGTCCATCCAGTTGATTAGTGACTCTTCGTTGCATTGTGCAGTTGCCGCCATGTGTGCAAGACTGCACATGCTGGCGCTGGCTGTTGTTTCAGGTCGACGACTTCGTCCTGAGCTCTGCGAACTGTGCTCTTTCCTCCACCGCGCGCTGGGTGCTAGCCCTGCGTTCCTGAAGTTTTCTCCGCATGCAAGACTCTTCCAAGGAGTGGGCGCTGCGGCTTTTGCTTGCTGACTCGTCCGCTGGATTCAGGGACATGAAGCTGGACCTGGAGGCCTCCTGGCGGCCTCAGGGCGGCCTGAAGCCAGAATGTTTTTCCTGACTTCCCCACTTTCTTTGGGGAGGCAACCGCCTGTGGGGCCTCTGCGATGGCGTTGCAACGAAGCAGCAGCTGGGAAGAGGCCGCAATAGGCCGCAGTTGCCCCAAAAGGATTCCGGCACTCTTAGATATTGGGCCAGGCACTCGGACTCTTAAACCAGCACGCGCCTTAGTCGTGGTCCGCAAGAGGATGGGCCAACAGAATCGACAGAGACGTACAAGTTCAGGCTGCAGCATCGCAGCCAGGGTTTGACATTGGCCACCTGCACAACAATTGCGGATGCTTGCAGCCTCGGCCTGACATTCCAGCTACTCTCTGCTTCGAAATCGTCGAGCCTCTTTCATCCTTGCAGTGACATTGTGTGGAAGTTTGCCTGCTTGCGAGGCAGCAGAGAGAAGTGGAAAGAGGCGCTGCAGATGTTGAAGGCGGAGCCTTGATTTCTACTTGTTGATGTCGAAGACAAAGCTTCTGTCGGCCATCTCCTAATCTCCAACAGCATTCGCGCCCACCGCGAACGTTGGAGCACGAACGAGCCGCGGCATGCAAACATCGAGCACTGAGTCTGCACGCCGTTCACTGCTTGCCAATGACTAGCTTCTTCAGGCGTTTGACGCATTTGCCGTGCCTCGTTGTTTGCGGTCTGTGTTCACGGGGTGTCCTCACAGTCATGACCTCAACTGCGGCAATTTAGCTCGGTGTGGCCCCATGAAACTCCAATTTGTTGTCATCCAACTAGGGTGGTGCGGGTGTTATCCAGCCATCGGCATCGGCACCGCAAGTTCGGCCGACGATTGTACTTTGGAGGCTTGAGGCGCAAGATAATGTCGCCCAATCCACTTCGCCAAGCATGTGTTTCATATGCAAAATGAATCTCCCGTTGAAGAATCTGTGATTTTGAGCTGTAGCCAGTTTGCAGCAGAACGAAGAATTTTTTCGAATCGCACAGGGGATGATTAGCTGAAGCTGTGCCTTAGATGCTCTGGTGCACTGGCCTTTGACTGCAAGCTCAGGGCATGCAGGTAAAGCTCAGCAAAGACTCTGAATCCAAAGTCCACGCGTGGTGCTAGCGGCTGGTAGACGGCGTTTTTGTGACTTCCAATGCAGGTTCTGAGCTCCTCACAGGCAGAGGCTGACGTGGTTTCGCTTGGACCAGCTCTTGAAGCATCCGGTGGGCGCCTGATTTCCATCAAAACTGGACGGTGCAGAGCACGAAATAGCACGAAAAACAGCCCAGGAGCCGGGGGTCGCTGGCAGCTTGCTTTGCAACTACTTCAGCAGGTGGAGGGCTCCAGCGGCTAGCGCGCCCACTATTGATATACGACATACGTTGCTCACGTTTCTTGGTCAAGGCTTGCCTGGCAAACATCGTGATCAGTAAGATTGCCCGTACCATGGCTGTCACTGCGATTGGACAGGCAGCACTATGGTCGAGCAATGCTAGTGCATGTCGTGTGAGAAGAGTCATCTTCTGCAAAACCGTGTCGCCCGTGTTTGTGCCCGTGAAAAGCAGGCCTCCAATCGCTGGAAATGGGCGCTGCTGCTGTTGCAAGCACCCCTAGGCCCTTGATTGTCAGGATTTAGGGAATCCTTTTGTCCAAAGTCGGGAGTTTTTGCAGGCCCCGGTGTGCAGGCGGATACAGTGGCACGGAACGCAGCCGGCACCCTGGACATTGAATTGTCCGGATGAGCAGGAAGTCTTTGTTCCTCCCTGGCCACACCTTGATGAAGGTGGTCTCGTCGCTAAGCTCCGGCAATTGCTGGGTGTGGCTACTTAGTCCACGATTCGATGCATTTTCATGTGCGTGCTCGTTCCGGCCCTGAAGGGGTTGGCAGGATTCGTTGAATCACATCGTCATCGCATGCTTCCAACTGTTCCAACTGGAGTTAGAGTTTCTCCACTGCCAGCATGTCGAGGTTGGAGCGACCCAGCTCCTTGACGAAGTGGCGCAGGGTGCAGAGGCTGTTCTTCTAGCTCGTTGCAGTGAGACAACATCCGCGAGAGAAAGGCCGGCCTTCTGCCGACCGGGTGCCACGCCCAGTGATCCTACAGTCTCCAACGTTGTGAAGCCGTAGACCTATTTGGACTTTTACTTTTTGGACTCAGGAGTCAAGGTTCGTGCAAGATCACAATACATCCCACATGACGGGGCACGAGCGTTTTGAAGCCATACACGGTTTTTTGAGAAGGCGGGAAAGAGGGAAGGGTGGAAGGACAGGGGGTGGGCGAGGTGGGGGAGAGGAGAATCCGCATGACAATGAACTATACAATACCAAAAGATCACACATCATAGAAGCATGCAATACCATAAGTTCTAGTACAATAATCAGTGTATGACATGCCAACATAACATATGTCAAAATATCAGTACAAGACCAAACCGCGTACCATTCCAACGAAGCAAAACGATGAGGAGTCCCATGCATTGGAATTTGCCATGGTTTGCTCTCTGATCACCCGAAAACGCGAGAGGGTTGTCATTCTCGGGGCGCAGGCAACGTGAGTACGATAAATTCATGAAAGGCAGATCCCGCTGACCTGCCCCCAGTACCTAATACTTGGAAGACATGTTGAGGCAGATTTGGACAGCATCAGAGTATTGGGGACCCGAGAGCCGCCCAGGTCATGAAAATTCATCACATCGTCTCAACCCAGCCCCGTCCGCTGAAAAGAGCCTTCGCCATGCGTTCGGGGAAACCTCGAAAATCGCAATTTCCATTCGCCAGAAAGCGGTTCGGCAATTCTTGACTCTCGGTCAAGATCGAACAGGCCAAATTTCAGGTCACATTCCTCCTCGGTATACGGGCAAGGGGGGCATGGTCGGTAGCCTTGCACCCCACGAGGTCGACATGGGAGCGCACGATCCCAAGAAAGCGTGGAGTTGGCTCAGGTCATTGCCCGGTTTTGCTGCCGCGATAGCTGCATGCACTGAGCATGAACGATGGAACCAGGCGAAGCGTCATTTTCCGTTCTGGCTCAGTACTCGATCGTACTCACCGGTAGGCACTTGGTCTTCTGGATGGTCTGACAAGCGGTGGACTGCTACCTGATGTCGTAAGCTGCGGTTTGCGGCACGGTTGCAAGAGATGTGAAAGTCGACATCTTGCGTGCAGCTTTCCATCCTCTCGAGGCTGCTGATGGTTTTCGCCTCAGCCGTTGCTGCTGTTTTCGAGCTCGAATATTGTCGCATGGACGAGCGATTGGGTAATGGTGCTGAAGCCTGGGCTCGCGCAAGGAGTGCGAGCAACAGGGCCTGAGAGCACGCGAGGCCAGGCGAGAGAGCCCGAAGGTTGAGAGTTCGTTGCAGAAAGAGACTCGAAGATTTTACCAGGTAGAGCTGCTGAGTCGACTGGCCGATGACTTGCAGGCTATGGGGCACAAACGAAAGAGCGAGCATGACTTCCCCTTTCCTGCCAGGTCTTCGATGAGTCACCATTCGCAAGCGAAGACAGAAATGCTTGCCTGCTTGCCGTGCATGCTCATCAAGCATGTCAGCAGTTCATTGAAATTCTTCTTGCAGGCCATGACGCAGTTGATGGCGCAAACAGACCGAAGCATTTCACAAAGAATGGAAGGTGCTCCGAACCATCCTTCCCTGTAGTGCTGCAGGGTCTTGAATGTGCTGCGTTCTAGTCACTTGTGCTAACCTCGCTCGCCCGCATCGAGAAAGCAGAGATTCTTCCACTGGCAGCAAAGAATCTCGTTGAACGCATTGGAGGGCCCATTGGAGGGCAGTCATTCCTCAACAATCGCCACTCACGTCCACTGACTTGTCACAGTGAAGCAGTTAGCCTATGCTCCGGTCGGTCGCTCATGATCATGCCTTGCAGTTCAGAAGCATGATCTCAACATCAAGAAGGAGGCACAGCAAGACTTTGCTGAGCTTGCCAGCCGCGCAGCAGCGCTCAAAAGGGGGACCGCTGGTGATGAATTGCAGGCGAGATGGGCAGATGTTGGATTGGGGCACCTGGCGTCGCAGCCTGTGAGTCGAACATGAGCAGACACGCTTTGATTGGGGTGTGCCATGCTCGGTGCACGATCTTTTGAGTTTAAGGCTCGTGTCCTGCTGGCGTTTGTCAGTCTCTTACCTGTGCGTGGGACTTACCAAAGTCTTTCCGAGGTCCAAACCTCCTGTCCGGTTCAGTTGGTCTGATCATGTCTCGATTCCGATGAGAGCTCTGAGGTCGTTGGAAGAAGACTTGCAGCAGTTGTGCCGTGATTTGCAAAGATATCAAAGATATTCCGCGATGCCGTCTTCATGCTAGGAGGGCGCTGCGCACAGGTGCTCAGACACGAGTCTGCAAAGACTTCAGGCAGATCTCTGGCAAACCTATGAGGCTGGAGAGTATTATTGCTCTTTGCTTTCGAGAGGTGTTTTATGCCAGACCGGTGGACCCGGTGGCAGTTGTCATGAATCGGCATGAGCTTTCGACTGGGTCTGGCACAAAGCCACGCATGGTGCTTTTCCAGCTATTTGACAGCACGAGCACTTTCACACGCACCGGTTTTCGCAAATCGCAGGCTGCACGTTGTTTCGTAGCCTTGACACATTTTCTTTTTCCGTCGGTTCCTGCAATGGGTTCGCAGACTGGTGATCCCCAGTCGCCCATACCGCAAGATCATTATTGTTCTGTCGTACAGACTGCCGAAATCGACAGCAAAGGAAGCTCCTCAGGCCTCCGCACGTCGACGTACAACTGTGAACTCTGTGAAGTTGTTGTTGCATGACCATTGCGAATGTACGAAGGTGGCTGCTGGTTGTGGCCCTGCAGAATTTAGATTGTTGCCGTTCTAACACAACTGCAACCTCCAAGCCGCCGTCGCAATCGAAGTCATGTAAGAAGGAAAAGTCCGCGAAGGCCATTCTAATTGTCGGTTTGAGCGAGAGCTGGAAGAAACGGAGCGGCCTGCCAAGATCTCTCGAACGTTATTGTATTGCAGCCTTGTAAACCCGCAAGTGCACAGCAAGGTAGGGAGATTCGCTTCAATTCATGCAAGGGGACATAGCAATCTTGGAGGCTTGTGAAGCCAACGACACTCCTGCTCCTTTCAAGTCTTGCATGGCTCCTGGGCAACATCTGATTTGTCGTTACAGATGCCTTTGTCTTTGAGACTTTGAGGCCTTCCTCTTCGGGCTTCCTGGACACGTTTGCCCGAGCAGCGGCCAGCCTTGACAAGATGTCGCTCATACGATTGCAGGTGTCAGACCCCGTCGCCGTCGTGGCGCAGGACCCTGCCCCTGCGTGAGAGCCAACTCAGCCTGGCCTTTGCATGAGACTGACAGGCAATTGTGGACTCGATCTTGGAGGCCTTGGACGCAGACAAGGTCCGCGGGTAGAATGCCGAAGCGCTCTGAACTCGAAGCCGCCAGAAATGTCTGAATGAGGTTGATATTTCAAGGCTGCAGTCCGTAGACTGCCTCGAAGGATTGTTCTCTGGCTGAAATTCAAGCGGACTGCAGGGTTCGTCTGCTTTGTTGAGCTCAGGGGGAAGCCAACTAAGATGTTGAGGATAAATGCGTTGGCCGCTTCATCGCGGCCTTTGTTGCACACATCCCGGGGACAATGGGCGGCTGCCATCTCAGCTGCGGACTTGCAGACTTTGGTACCTCGTCACCCGCACTCGTCCTTACACTTGATCGTCAATGACTGTCCGATCGTGGTTCTGTGCACTTCGAAGCTTTGCCTGGCGACATCGGGTTGCGAAAATGCGTATTCAAGTTTCGCCTCGGGCGGTTTGCTTTGTTTGGGTTTCTGCAGGCTCGAGCTGATGGGATGAATACCCGGAAGCTCGAGTTGTGCCCAGTCTCGCTGCAGACGTGTTCTTTAGACTACAGCTGTGACACCAGCTTTGGTCTAGCAGCTTCACTGTTTGCATGAATGAGTGGCGTGGCATGCCCAGGGCCTTGTTTCGTCCAAACGAGCACGCGTGCGTTGGCACAGTTCTAGAGACAATTGGTTTCTGCCTTGGTGTGCTTTGCATTTTGCTGGTCGTTTAAGGACAGCTGTGTGCACACACCCGGCAGAAGCTGCACACTTGGGCGGGGCGGCAAAGTAGGTGGAAGCCAGGTTGGCAGATCAATTCGGCATCCCGCATGCCAACGGGTCGAGCCTGGTCGGTCGACTAAGAAACCGCTGCAAGCGCAGACAGTCAAGCAGAAGCGAGGGTTTTGTGCTCCGACCCGGTCCGACGTCCCCACAAACCTGCCCGGAGCCTCGATGGGAGTGGGCATGTCACAGCTGGCCTACTAGTATTCCAATCAAGCAATGGTTCCTTCTGTTTTTGCTGATGAAGGGCAGGGTGGTGAAAGGACACGCCATGAGATCACGTTCTTTGTAGAGTGGATACTCGAAGCTGATGATCCATGTACGATGTGCCGTTTAAACACGTGAAGCGCCAGGGCGTTAAGAGGTTGGGATCCTGCGAATGCTTTTGCACACTTCGCACCGAACGAGCTGCATGAACCGCGACTGCACCCTGTTCTGACATGCCTGGACTTAAACATCTTTCCACCTTATGCATCGAGGGCTCGGGTGCCGGCAATGTTTCACACAGAGGAGAACATAAGAAGTTTCTGAGGCCTGGGCCGCCTTCACTTTGGCTTCCTTTGGCTGCTGGCCCTTGCATGGACTTGGCCAAGGCGTTCCAGGCTCGGATGATCGGACAGTCGACATGGTTTCGAAGTTGAATATGTTGCAACTTCTAACCACCGTAACATTTTACGGTTGTGGCCCTCGCACCAAAATCTCCTCCGTCCAAAGTGCGATTGCGCAGCAGTGTCGTTTCTAATCAACCCAGAAGCAAGAAACACCTTTCCCCGCGAGAACGAAGGGCAGCAATAGTTGCAATTTTTGAGAGCTTCGGAGTAAAATTAGCCGCCAGAAACTAGTGCAAATCCACTGCATTGATTGCTTCGTGGATAGCTCTTGATGTAGGTCGACACGGTGATATGCATAAAAGGGAACCCCCTAGGCCAAATCAATGAATGATGCGGGGAATCTGCGAGAGGGGTGTGGTGTGGTGTGGTGTGGCGTGGCGTGGTGTGGTGTGTGTGTGTGTGTGCGCGTGTGGATCTTGAGGGCATGCAGAATGTACCAATAGCTGCGCCTTCTTCGTCACCTCTTTATCCAGTACTTGTGCAGCCTCATGCAGTTCATGTTATCGGACAACTAGTTGAAAGATCCCTTCTGGACTCTTGCAACTGCCACAGCACTGGCGCCAGGACGAAAGTTCGTCGCATCGGGCAGTTCTGTTCGCAGATGCTTGTAAACCCTTTTCCCTCATAGACTTCTTCACGAAGTCTCGAGTTGAGGCCCCGACGTCAGCAAGTCCTCCGTTTGAACAAGGAAGCAGAGTATGTTTCCAGCTGAGAAATTCCTCCGCTGGCCAGGCCACGTGAAACTCACTTGCTGGTACTCCGAGTCCTCCGCCAAGACAAAATATCTTAGTGCAACAAAACTTTTCATCCTGCTGATGCTCACGGTGGACTAAACACGATTAGGGACACCTGCTAAACTGCGACCCTTGGTCCCCCCGGACATGAGCCCTTCTGAAAAAGGAGCACGGAAGGCAGCCTCCGTTTGCCGGCCAGAGTCCCGTCCTGTTGCACGTTTCGTGAGACACATGCTAGGATCTTGCCATTTCGCCCGCTGGGGTCGTGCCATGCCGTCACTTTTGGTAGTGACGTCCTTGCATGTGTTCTTGACCTATCCTTTTTCGACTTTCAACCGCAGTGGTCTGGTCTGACCTACTAGCGAGCTTGGTACACGGTGTATGACCGCGGCCACTCAAGGTAGCAACTATGCACTGCGACTTTGTAAAACTGAGGTCCTTGCCCGTAGGAGCCGTAGCTCACTAAGCTACAGGCGGCACAGCTCAAGCGCATTGGTGGCAGCTGCAGAGTGTGGGGCCGATGACGGCTCCCCAATCCTGTTTGATAAGAGTGGCCGAACCCCAGCACACCGGAGGCTATCGTGAACAATACTTGTACAAGGCTGAAAAGAGGGATGCGCAGTTTTTGTGGTGGCTTTTGTGGGTTTCCGTCGTGCATGTCCCTGCTTGAGTTCACAGCAGAGGAGCAAAGGTGCATGTAGCGGTCACAGATGTGAGAGCACACGTTTGATGCAAGAGCAGTGGTACTTTAGCAATCCGTCACCTTTTTTGCAATCCCTGCAAACCCCTCGTTTGGCCGCCGAACGGCGGCTCACCAGCATAGGGCGGATGCTAGACCCCTGCATTCGTCCTTAGCATCCCAAGCACATAGCAATTTTCAGATACCTCCTCAGGCAGTGTTCGATAATGTTCCGCAGGTCGGTTGTCGTCTGAGCACCAGACCTCTTGCGTACCCTCAACAAAAGCCGCAGTCCTATAGTGTCCAGTTGTGGGGGATTCTCCTAGATGAACCACTGCAGTCGTGATCTGAAGCGGTTCCCATTCCACTTGCAAGCCTGCCTCCGTGAAGACTGGGATCATGACTCTTTTGTCCTCAAGTTGCAGCTGGATGCGGTTTTTCATTACTTCCTCTTCAAGCTGTCTGTAGCGGGGCAGGGCGATGAAGAGTTGGTTAGGCTTAGTGGTGAGGGCGTGGATGGAGTCTTTGGTGTGCCAGGCGTTTACTGCATCTTGCAGCTGCGAAGAGTATAAACCATCAGGAGCATCAAGGATGAGCACATGGGCACTATCATTACCCTCGATTTGTCCTATCTCAACCTGGTGGGGGTCACCCGACGTGTCCTGTCTAGCTGCCCAAGAAAATCCGTTGCTTGCCCATGCAAGTTTTGGCAACATGAACTGCATAAATTCGCTTGCAGCATGCTGTTGCCTAGGTCTAGCCCATCGTGTCATTGGCAGTTGAAGAAACTGAGCCGGGGTCCAGGTGACTTGATGCACGACCTTTCTCCAAGCTTCGGGGACGTGCACGTCAACCCTTTGATGGACTTGCCAGAGCAGCGCGAATACCGTGGCATTTATGTAGCAGCTAGTGCCCACATTGATGAGGCACATGCGGTTAAGCTGAGTAAGTCGAGCCGGCAGTGCAGTTGGTCTGCCTCTGCGTTTCGGCTCCCCTTTGGGGCCGTTTACTTTCTTGCCTCTTCCAGATTCTTCTGAAGGGCCACCGCGATTCCGTGACGCTTCAATGTTGGAGGTCGAAGCTGCGCCCCAACAAGCTGCCACGCTGCGCTGTCCTGTAGGAGCAGCAGCTGCTGATGAATGTCGTTTGCTGCCGGGCTTCGCAATGATATCTCCACCGTGAACACCGCCGTGTTCCCCTCTTCTGGCTCCGCTTCCCCGTCCCGGCGCTTCTTCGCACTGAACTTCGTGATGGTCTGGGGGGTTGTGGGGGGTTGCCAGCTCTGCGATCTTGTTGAGGCTTGTGTTGACTTGCTCCGGTGTCAGCCCCTGCTTGGCTGTGTCCACCTCGAGTCTTTTGGCTATCGGGTTCCACTTCTGGTACACGAACCTTCCTGCTCCGTCCACCCAGTGGCACTCCACTGCCTTCTTTTGGGCCTCCTCGCTTGACAGCAGCAGCTTCAGCCTCGCCTCCGTCTCTTTCAGAAGAAGTCCGAACGCCACCAGCCTCAGCGGTCCTAGTTGCTCGCCTTTGTTGGTCATCTGATGCCATTTTTGTCCTGCCTGAACGAGCTCCTTGAGGACGGCTCCCGGGCCCTCCTTTCTCAGACGAAAGGTGAATGACGTGTCCATCCGAACTGTGTTGAGAGCGTCTTCCTGCTGCAGTGACATCGCCGCCACCATGGAGATCAGCTGAGTCACGTGCTCCTGCCGGATGTTCTGGTGTCCCTGCCCACCTCGGCTCCCCCTTCGGGACTCTTGGTGCTCCCTGTGGCGGCGACCGGCTTTGTTGACCAAGGTGCCCTGCTGGGACGCCATCCCCGGCAGCAACTCCTGGAATACTGACACCATCCGCACGGCTGAGCTGGCGATCTCCATCAAGAATGCCTAGCAAGGCACTTTGCCAGACAGTGTTGCATTGTTCACAATAGCGATTTTATGAGGCTCGTTGACACCGCTGGCATGTGCCATCATGCTCAAGCAGATGCTTAATTTTCCTACACACTGGGCCCACGCCTCCTTGTGCTCCTTCTTGAAGTGGCGCTTGAGAGCTGTGGGGTCGAGTATCCATCCTTTGCACCAAGCACAATGCTGCTTCAACTGTTCAACCACGGGTGCCGTCAAGAGAGCAGTCCAGCCTGTTTTTCGCACCATCTCCAACACTACTGGACACTGAGATGGTGGTGGTGGCTGGGCAGAGGTGGCCTCAGTTGGTTCTTGGGCTTGTGTTGTGGGTCCATGCTGGGTATCATGAGATGGCGGCTAAAGGTCGGGAGCTTGGGGCATTGGCCTCGCTGTATATGATTTTTGATGCCACACCAGTTTCCAAATTTGTGGAGGCAGTACACACTGCAAAACTTGTGCATGCGCTAGGCTACAGTCCTAAGCTGTTGGATTGCATCGCTCCGTCACCTCTTGCTGCCGTGATCACTCAGAGGGCGCCCCTTGAGTCTGATACCTTTTGCGCCCGCCGTGGCAAAATGTGCGTCTCTTCTGCGTGAACGCTTTGTGCTGCATTCACTTAGTTGGCACCGGAGCCTACCTTCCGACATGCCGCTGGTCCCCACGTTTGATATGGCAGCGGCCGGGACGTGCCGGACGACCCAGGACCTTCGGTGTTGCCCAGGGACGGCGTGGATTGGAGGTGCTCCGGCGACCACCTCATCCGCGACTACCTGAGTAGATGGAGCTGTGGAGAGTGCGGCTGCCTTCAGCACTACCGGACTGACCGCCCTGCTTCGAGGATGGCGGCACATGGTCAAGGACAATGGCTCTATGTGCCGGCAGGACAGCCAGCTCCGGCCGCTGATGCGGCACCGCCGCCTCGGCCTGACAGCCCCGCCGCTGCTACCTCAGGCGGCTTGGCTTCTGGACGGAGACGACGGCGACAGCGCCGGCCCCGTGGTGGGCCTCCTTCTGGCGATGGTGCTTCGGAGAGGTCGGAGCAGCCCGAGTCTGAGACTCTGACATATGATCCTACGGTGTCGGTTGGAGCCTCCTCCCGGACCTCCCGACGTGCCCAACGCCACGATCCTCTTCGAGAACAGCCCCCAGAGTTCCAGTACAGCGAGCTGAGGTGATGAGCCCCCACGATTACCCGATCCTCCGCTACCTCTTCCCGAGGCTGAGCACCCGCGTCACCTGCTGACCTTGGACGACGTGAAGGCTGCTACCCCTGCAGGCCGCGACAAGGCTTCAACGGCGACGTGGAACAGCCGGATGGGACCTGAGAAGAACGTGCGCTGGCGTGGCGGTACGCCACCGCCCCCGCCAGCATGGAAGTACGACGTGACAGACCTGCGGGCTTTCTCCAAGTGGGCCCGCAAAGTTGAGATCTGGCGGGTCCAGATCAAGAGCTACATGACGGCTCGCGACGCCTCCCTTCTCCTTTACACCAGCCTTTCTGGAGAAGCCGAGGCGGAACTCGAGCACGCCCCCTTGGATCGCATCAACCACGAGAACGGTATCGACTACATCTTGGAGACCCTGAAGGCCCCCATGGAGCAGAAGGGGGTGTACCAGAAGCGCAAGTTCCTTTCGGACTTTGAGCAGCTTAATCGCTACCCCGGGGAAGGCCTCAGGACATTTGCCAATAGGTACCGCCGTGTGGAGCGATCCTTGGAAGCGCTCGGCGTCAACATCACTGGTATGTATGACACCGAGGCCAGAGGCAACAGGCTGCTCGAGCGAGCCCGTTTGACTATGCAGGACCAGCGCCTCATCCTGGTGGGCGCCCGCCACAGCTTGGCCTTCGACGACATCTCGGAGAGCATGGTGCTACAGTACCCCGAGTTCAAGGCGGCGCCCCCGGTGGTGAACAAGGACGGCTCCCTTGCGACCAAGCCCCACGCTGGCCCTCGCGACAAAGGAGGCAAAGGAGCACCTCAACAAGGCCAGCCGAGCGCTGGCAAGGGCTACTTCCAGAACCGCGGCGACCGTGGACAGGCACCTCCCAAGAAGGTCTTCGTCACCGAGGAAGCCCCCGAGCAGGACGGCGACCCCGCCGACGAGGAGGACGACCAGCAGGACCACGACGGGGAACCGGCCGAGGACCAGGTACCCGAGCCCGACGGCGACCCGGAGGAGCCCGACCACGGCGCCTCTCGGGACTTAAGCTTGGCAGGAAGTTCACCGGCGGACCCCGTAAAGACACCGCGGCGCTCAAGAAGGAGACACACTGCCAGGCCTGCGGCGAGAAGGGACATTGGAAGGGCGACGCCGAATGCCCCATGACGGTCAAGCCCGGCGCGCCACCCTCTCGGCCGGGACCCTCGGCACCTTCTTCGAGCACCTCCAAGCCCGGACCGCCAGCCAGACACGACAAGACCAAGAAGCCTCCGCACCAGACCTTCTACATGAGAGACGCCGGCACCTACGAAGCCACCGACAGCCCCGACTACGGCTCTTTCATGTGAGGGTGGTTTTCGAGGTGCAGGCAAAGCCCGGACAGCTCGAGGGTTTTTCCCAGATGACGACATGCTGTGGGAGAAGGAACACGGCCAGGAGCTTCGAAAGCACGGCCTTTGCAGCTACCAGGTTCCCTGCACCGACGCCTTCCAGTTTGGGAGCGGCGGCCCGCTTAAAGCAGCTAGGCGCTCCTATTTGCCAATCGGCCTGGGGGGCACCAACTTGATCGTGGGAGCCGGCGCCGTGGATGCAAAAGTGCCTCTGCTCGCTTCCAATAGGCTCTTGGACCAACTTGGCATGGTACTCGACCTTCCCCGCGACCTAGTGTGCTTCGAGACGTCTGTGACAGTGCCTTTGTATAGGATCTCTGGTCACCTTGCTGTGCGTATCACTGACTTCAGCCAGAGCCCTTCTTGGAGACAGCTGCAAGAAGCCGTGAACTGGGAATCCCCGCCCGCAGAGCTTGCGGCCCGAGACACTTCGAATCCGACTTCAGGGCCCGATCTTTCTTTTCATGATCGGGGTGACCTCGCGCCTCCCTCCGCCTCCTGCATGGCTGCGCTGCTGGCGACGCCTGGTCACCCACCTGATGATGTTCCGCCGGGAGGTCTTCAAGAGCCTGGCAACGGCCGTGAACCTCGACATCCTTCCGGTCAACCTCTTCACCACGATTCCCCCGGAGCTCGACGTGCAGTTCGCTTTCCCCGTGAGCAAGTGCGACCATCCGGACTATGTCCGCTACGGCAACGCCTACGGGAAGTTCGCCAAGTGCAAGCGGTGCCACCGGAGGCTCCGTTGGAACGACAGCCGAGCCGCGTGGGAGGACCATCCCGACAAAAGGTTCGACACTTCGCTGCTAACTTCGCGACCGCCCTTGCCCTCCTCATCCAATATTGCACCGGCGGAACCAGCATCGAGCAGCAGGCCGTCCCAGCCTTCAGCCCGGACTTCTTTGAAGGCGGCGTCGACCAAGGCTTCACCCAAGAAGCGCTCGGCACGGCGAGCGTCGGCAAGCAGCGCTTCCGAGATGGAACTGGACCACTGGAAGCTCCTGCAAGCGGAGGAGGAGTCGGAAGCGTTCGACTGGAACGAGGCCGCATGAAGCGGCTTAAGGGCAGCTGGTTTCGGTCGGCACGGCACATCTACGACCAGGCCCCAACGACCTCGAGCCGGCCGCCTCCGACCGTCGATGTGCTGACGGTCACTCCAGACACCCGGGCCTTGCGACCGGCCCTCGCGATGCAGTCGATGACTTCGGCCAGCCTTAGCCCGAGCACTCTGGACGCCATGGGCCGCCAACCTGAGGGAGAGAGAGATGCACTACGAGTTCTTCGGCGCCTTCGGCCCCACGTCACCTACCTCTCGTACCTCGACTTCTTCCCGGGCGACCTCTTCAACCTCAGCGTCCAGAAGTTGCTTGACGAGCAAAGCACAGCCGGGCGAGCCTTTGTCATCCTCGCCCCGGCCTGGCACAGATGGTGCCAAGGATACTGCCGGAGCCCATTGTGATACCATGGCACGATGGCTCAGAGCAGACCGTGCGGCTCTATACCAACATTCCTGGAGCACGGGCCCGGTTCACCGACAACACCGCCTCCGATCAGGACCTGCCGGACCGCATCACTTACATGATTCGGGACTACGTGACGGCCAAGGAGCCCCTGCGCTTTGGCATCTTCGAGGCGTTCGTGAACTACCAGACCCCGGTCACCGAGCTGACCGCGTGGAACGAAATGGCTGACATGCTCCAGAAGTCTTTTGGCAGCTCCAGCACTCGGCCCTTCTATGTGGACCCGGCCGGAGAGGTGGGCAAGAAGATCGGCGAGTTGTTTCGGCTGCAGCTCAACCGCATACAGTGTGTGCAGACACCCACGCAAAGACGGATGCCGCCCGATCTGCCCTACACCGCTCGGGGAGCGTTCTTGATTTTTTCTGATGGGTCGCGGGCGGTGGAGGTAGAGGATCTTAATTTGATCCAGCACCCCAAGCAACGCTTTTCGAAACCGGTGAAATACGCTATCTTCGCCTACGGCGACCTTCTGGAAGAGACCGCCCAACCGGCTGAACGAACACTGCCAGAAGCCCCGGTTCCAGGCATGCCCACTGATATTTCGTTCCCTGGCCTCTCGGCCACGGTGCCCTTAGAGGTCAGGCGTGCAATCGCACGTGCCCATGTGAATCTCGGGCACGCTTCTCCTGAAGAACTTCTTCGGCTTGCGGTCCAAACTGGGACGCCCAGCGACCTCTTCCTGCAAGCCATCCGCCGCATGAGGTGCGCCACGTGTGAACGCCTTCGGGGACCTCAACAACCACCACCTGCAACCTCAGCCGCCAAGGTCACGCAGTTCGGCGACCGTGTGGAGGCCGACATCTTCTACATTCGTGACCTTCGAGGCCGCTCAGTTCCGGTACTTGGCGTGGTGGACTGTGCCACGAGGCTGCAGCAAGCTGCCGTGCTACCTTCGCGGGACCCCGAGGACCTTTATGAGGCTCTGGAACGCGTGTGGCTGAGGCCCTTTGGGCTCATGGTGGAGATTGCCGTGGACCCTGACGGCTCATTTCAAGGAGCCTTCGAGGAGCGACTTCGATCACACGGCGTGCTGGTAAACTTCTGCCCGGCAGACGCCCACTGGAGGATAGGCCAGGTCGAGCGTCAAAATTCTTTCCTCCGGACCGTGTTGCCTTCGCCTCGACCAACATCTCTGAGTTGCAACTCCTTTTGGCCCCGGCCCTGCATGCAGTGAACTCTATGGTGCTAACCCGGGGGAGGTCGGCTTATCAAGCCGTGTTTGGGCGTGTGCCAAGGCTGCCTGGTGGCCTCTTTACCGACGAGCACTTTTTGGCCAGTACACCGACCACAGATGCCGCCGCCTCCGCCGAGATAGTGCGCTCCGAAGCCCTCAAGGTGATCTGCGATCTCAACGTGAAGCAAGGTCTCCGCAGGGCCCTCCTGAGAAAGACTCGTAACGTACGAGTCGCAGACCTTCAGCCAGGGCAACCGTGTGCCTTCTGGAGGTGGAGAAAGCGAGGCATAAAGAAGCGAGGCGGCTGGATCACTGCCAAGTTCCTGAGCTGGGACCCCAGCTCACCTGGGAAGCTGGCATGGGTACGTTCTGGAACGTCCACTGCCCTTGTAGCCGTCGAGCAGCTCAGGGCAGCCACTGGCTTTGAGACGTGGGTTCCGACCGAACAAGAGGTCTGAAGGACGCGGCAAAGACGCTCGACCAGTCGCTGTGGGCCGACGAGACAGGCCCTGAACCATCGAAGCGCGAGCTCGAGCAGGACGAGCCCGACATGGAGCAAGTGACCTTCGACAACATGGGCCCCGACATGGCTGCCGCAACCATGGCTGCGATTCCTGCCGCAGTCGAACCACAACGACAACTACCGAGCAGCGACCTTAACATTCAGCAGAGGACCCAGACGGTTGTGATTCAGCCCCACGTGCAGCAGACCATCATCCAGAACACCGCTCGCTTGGGAGACCCAGCGCAGGGCTCGAGACGAGCCACGTCAATGCCGAGAACGCCACGCGCTGCTTCAGCACCAAGGACCCCGCGAGCAGCTCTGAGAAGCCGATCCCCAAAGCCAGCGACTCTTCCTCTGGAGGCACCTCAGGAACAACCAGCGCTACCGCTAGAACTTCCGGAGCCACCGGTACCAGACACTCCTCTAGCGTCTCCTAGACCTCAGGAACAACAAGCGCTACTACCAGAACTTCCGGAGCCTCTAGGTCCCCGTACCACCTACACCTTTAGAGGTCGGTCTTGAGTCTGCGCAGTACGAGTCGGCTCCCTTTAACGAAATCCCTGGATTCGAAGAGGAACCTCCCGTACCACCACCACCTCACGCTCAGGGCGCCGAAGAAGCACAGCACGAAGTTCCCGAACCTCCTGTACCACAAGCTCCACAGCCGCAGTCAGTGTCCAGCTCTTCACGACCCCCGACGACGCCTGTGACCAGCCAGCCGAGCTCGGGAACCGAACCTGGAGGCAACCTTCTTCCGGCTAAGCGCCCTTTTGAGACACTGGCTACCCTCTTCTACGAGGACGGCTGCCTTCACCACTGTGTGCCGGGCGAGATACTGGAGCAAGGCTATGGCCCTAAATTCGAGACCTTCTATGAGGCATACCTTTCTTCGACCCAGCGCAAGGACGACCTCGCCGGCAGCAGCAAGGACCCCACCGAGACGGACACAAGCGACTCGGACTGGGACGACGAGGCACCGACCAAAGGGAACAAGCCCATGAGACGAGCTGAAGCTAAGGCTTTGGACCGTGAGATACCGTGGCGGAAGATCCTCGAGATGAGCGAGGCAGACATTGAAGCATTCAAGGCCGCCACCATCAAGGAGGCCAAAAGCTGGGAGGAGTGGGGATCTGTCAAGCCGCTCACCCACCAGGAGGCCCAGAAAGTTTTGCGAGACAAGGTGCTGTGCAAGCGCATTTTGCGCACGAGAAGCTGTTTTCGAGACAAGAGCCGGGGACTTTCCCAGCTCATGCCAAAGTGCAGGGTCGTGGCACTGGGCCATAAGGACCCGGATATTTTCCGGCTGAACCGGGAGTGTGCCACACCCAACCGGACCTCGGAACACGTCCTGTTTTGCATCATGACGGCCGGGAGCAACAAGGAGTTCGACGACACCGGCCTCCTTTGGAAAGGCTGGAGCGGCGACGCTTCGACCGCCTTTTTACAAGGCGACATCGCCGCCTCAGAGAGGGAGCAACCACTATACCTCCTGCCACCGAACGACGGCATCACTTCATTGACTCCTTGCTGGAAGGCTCCACTCTACCTCGTGTGCACCAACATCTACGGCTTGAGCAACGCACCCAGGCTTTGGTCTTTGACGGTCATCTCCCGACTGAAAGACCTGGACTACCGCCAGCACTCTTTCGACAAGATGGTCTTTCTAAAGTTCAAGGACGACCGCCTCATCTCCATCATCGTGGTCTAAGTGGACGACTTTTTAGGGGTCCACCGCGAGGATTATGATATCACTGAGGTGACTAATGCCTTCCGCTGGGGCGTGCTCCACTCTTTCGAGGTGGGCAAGACGGTGACCTTCAAAGGAAAGCAGCTCACCTTGGAGAAGAAGGAGACGGGCCGCATCGTGATGCGAGTGTGCCAAAGGGAGTTCATCGAAGGCCTCGACCCAGGCCGTGTCCCTCGCGGAAGCGACCTGACTCAGGTGTTGGACCCACAGCAGCGTGGCGAGTTCCGCAGTCTTGCCGGCTGCCTCCAGTGGCTGAGTGGACAATCTCGACCTGAACTCTCGGCGGTCAACTCACTAGCAAACCACGGCGCTCAGACCACCCTCGGTGACCTTCGCGACCTCTACGAGGCTGTGGACTTCGCCAGGAAGACCAAGGAGTACGGGTTTGTGGTGCAAGACGTGCCGCTGAACCGCGCCACCGTCATCCTGGCCTACAGTGACGCTAGCTGGGCGAACGCACAAGAAAGCCGCTCTCAATGTGGAGCACTCGTGGTGTTATGCCACGCTTCGGTACTTCAGAAACAGGTGCCGGCCATGGTGGTGGACTGGAAGTCTTCAAGATCCCAAAGGGTTTGCCGCTCCACCCTCGCCTCCGAGAGCTGCGCTGCCGACGAAGCTTGCGACAGAAGCGCATACTTGAACATGTACCTGGGCGAGATTCTCTACAATGTGCCGGCACACCGTGTGGGATACCGACTTCACAACCTCGGCGCCACTGACGCCAAGTCCCTCTACGACGTCGTGGTGAGCGACACACCGAACTTGAGCGACAAACGTTCGCTCGTTAATATCCGTGCCATCCAGGAGGTCGTATCATCCGACCGCTACCACTGGGTACCCACTACTTTGATGTGGGCTGACGGGCTGACGAAACACAGCCCTGAACTTTTGGTCAGCCTCTTTGAGTGGCTTCAAGAGCCGACGGCGACCCTAAAGGAGTAGATGGAGAGCTGCAATCCAAAAGAAAACTTTACCAGTGTAAAACTTGTGATGCGCTAGGCTACAGTCCTAAGCTGTTGGATTGCATCGCTCCGTCACGTCTTGCTGCCGTGATCACTCAGAGGGCGCCCCTTGAGTCTGATACGTTTTGCGCCCGCCGTGGCAAAATGTGCGTCTCTTCTGCGTGAACGCTTTGTGCTGCATTCACTTAGACACACATTGCGGGAGACCTCCCACCGCATGCTTAGCAGCATCAATTGTGATCTGGGACGGTTTCTGTTCTTTATGACTTCTGGCAACATGCTTGCGAAGGGAGGTCAGGCTGTCAAAGCTGTTTTCACACAACTGACATTGATGAGCAGCACCTGGCGCATGTTCTGCAGTGTCTACCTGAGTAGCTTCTTCCTTATCCTGCAAAGTGCCGAGTGCGTACTTCAGCTGCTCCTGCGCTGCCGGGATTACCCGGATGTCTTCAACATCAGTTCTTGACCTATCCGCGCTGTTGCACGCAGAAGTGACTTGCCACAACTATCGAACCTGGGATTCATGCTGTATGTGAGAAGCCTTTCCTGAGGGAGGACATTCCGAGTTGGTATGCAGCTGACATCGGCAGAGACCATGGTAGCAGACTTGTTAGCTCAGAGTATGTTGAGATGGTGTCACGCGGCTAGATTGCACATTCGCTGTCATGAGAGCAATTATGATGTGGACTGTCAGTGCAACAGTTTGCGATATGCCTGCTTCCAGTTTTCGCTCCTCACTCCCACTCCTACTCCCTCACTCTCAGCCTGATCCTCAGTCTCAGCCCTGACTTTCACCATCACACTGCCTTCCACTCCCTTCACTCCTCGCTTCCCTTACTCCCAACCACTCCCTTCCTCCTGACCTCACTCCTCGCTCCCACTCACTCCCCGTCCTGTTAAGCATCGTTTGGAGGCAGCAGTTGGCCAGTGAGATATCAAGACGTTTTGGCTGGCAACTGAGTTCTCTGACACCTCGAGACAGCATGCTGCTCGGTTGGCGGTTTGCAAGTGCGAGTTGTGACGTCTGAGAATCTGGCACTTTCTGCAGAAGCCTGGAGGGAACATGGTGATAAGGCCTTTGTGCGATTCCTTCCTGAATGCATCCAGTCTCTGCTTCTGGTAGGCAGAGTTCGCTTTGCCTCCAAGGAAGCCCATGCCAGCGGCAATGTTGAACAGGTGGGGCGGTTTGTGGGCCAGAGCTAGAGAGTGCGGCGTTGCGACTGTGGCCCAAGAGGCTAACCCCGAGCAAGCCACCTTCAGGTCAGGGTGGCCCAGGGTGCAGGGTGGCGCAGGAGAGGGGCTTATAGGGGCTTCACGTTTCTCAGAGTCTTCCCGCAACAAGGTCCAGCGAAGGTGACGCTTCCGAATCACTTGACCGTTCTCAGCACAGGGTGAGATCCTTCAGCTTTAGGGTCAGAGATGAACATTGGATTCGGGTGTAAGCCTGACGAGTCCCAGGCATCACGCATCATATCCAGTTGCCATCTCAGCAATGTGGCGGGCACTCCTTCCAGAGTACGAGATTCAGATTCAGGAGTGTCCGGAGGTTTGGGAATGCTGCATTTCATGGGTCAGAACTGGCTCAGACTGGCAGGATCATTCCTTTGACGACCGCTACTGCCAGCTTCACGGCACGTGTTCTGCAGACAGTCGTTTTGCGTGGACGGGATCCAAGAGCTGTGGCGGCGTGGTGAGAGCAAGCTTCGCCAACCGCAACGGATTCGATGTGGACTAAGCCACAATATCAGGCTTGGTGAACACCTCAGAGGAACACTTGTTCGAACCTGCGGCGGACATTATCTGAAAGGCTTTGAGGCTGGCCGTGTCTCCGTGATGGCAGAACGCAGCCGTTGTAAGTCCGCACAGGACATAGAATCTCTGGCAGAGCACTTCTTCGAGCTTGTCGTCAAAGGCCGCGCGACAGCGGGTGGGGGGTTGTGCCAGGATTCTTCCTGCGAAAAGTGGGCTGGTTCAGGTTCTAGTCTTTGCAAACTGATATAAGCACAAGTTGAAACAGTCAATAGAATTCTGTGGGTATACATGCAAATAGAAAAGCAGATTTGCATGTATTCGTAGATCCTTTGTTTGTACAAAGAAGCGTATATATAGATATGTATCTATATCTACACATATGAGTAAGCAGACATAGACAAGTCATCTATGTGTTGTTTTCTATCTATCCATCTATCGTTCTATCTCAGATGGCTATAGTTGTATATATGTGCACGTTGACGAGGACCGCACCTGAAAGGATCAGCGCAGCTTCTGGACAGAAATAGTCTTAGCACTTCATGTGCACCGCGTTCACTCTGATCGGTCTCTGTTTCCTTATCGCAGACTTGAAGGCCGTGGATGGGTTCCGCAGGGCCTGTCCGCCGCCGAAGCATGAAGATGCCTCCGGCCGTGCATGTCCATGATGCGGCTTTGGGCCATGTCGCTCTTGGCATCTTTGCTGATTCCGGGAGCGATGCTGTTGAAGTCTCGGAGGGCTTGGCTTCTTCGTGCGAGGGGCGAGGGGGCGCTTGTAGGCAGTGCCGCGAGGCTTGACATCCTTCAGATACTGCAGCCTTTGGTTCGGAAAGTCTTGCTACCTTTTGAAGCAGCGGTAGAGACACAGCTTCCTGCGGCAAAAACGAAGTGTTGCTGGACCCTCACGGTCGATCTTGTTGATTCCAGCCAGCTCTCAGGCGATGATCTGACGGGCGGCACAGACGGCACCATGTAACTCCAGATCATTATCATGGTGCACAACTTCTCAAAGATCCACTCCTCGATGGCATGTCGAGCCGCCCCATTCCCATGTCTCTGAGTGATCACTTGGGGCATCACGAGCATCACAGGGCGCACATTATTCACAATGTCTTTGCCAAAACTTCCGCGGTTGCCAGCACCATCATCGCTCGAACTTGAAGACATGCTGCTTCACATAACCGCGAACGCCTAGTGTGGGGCCGGATGAAAAGCTCGTTCTTGTCGGATGTGCACACCTCAGAAGACAAAACTGACCAAACATCAACGGATAGGAAGCTGGAAGTTGAATAGTAGCAGTGGTAATTAGCATGCAGCATGCTGCATTCGTAGGGGCTCGTCCCGGTACATTGTTGCACGGCGGCTGGCGGCAGGTAAGACAAACATTTGTGCCTAGGAGGGTGCAGCAACTTGGACTTGTCCGTATTTCTGGCCAACTGCAGTCCTGTCCGCGTGCCAGACCCTACGACATCGCAGGTGGATTTGCTTCTCTGTGGGTTCCTCAAACAGGCGCAGTCACGCCAGCTTTGTCTCACCAACTCGCGATGAGGTACGCACCCTCCCTACTCATGCCGCCTTTTTTGGCCTTTCGTTCAGCGTCTTGGCTGGTGCCACGCTTAGGGCAGCTTCAGATCCGATGTAAATGTATCGGTCGGACATGTGTCGAATGAGGCCCTTGCTGGGATTCTTCGGCGGCACTCTGGAGGCCTAAACTTGGCAAGCGTTTTCTCAACCATTGCGTTGAGTCCGGTGGTGCTGCTATTGTGGCCGTTGATTCCTCTGCGGATCTACTGGAGTTGAATGCGTGCATGATAGTGAACATCGTTTCGCGGCATGGGGAGAGGCAGGCATGGACAGGCAACGCAGGGCAATGCCCTATGCAGATGCTGTTTTGGAAGGCATCTATGCCTCCGGAGCGGTGCTAGCAGTCCATGCCCTACAAACCCAAGAACCGTTCCAAGAACAGCCTTTGCGGCTCCCAAGACCGACCTATGAGTCCAAAATAATCCAAAATGCGCACCATGCTACTGCCGGCGCAAGATTGTCCAGGAAGACGTGCAGTACTGTGGCGGGAACACGGGTCCCAGCACATCCCACTCCAGAATATGCGCGGCATTTTCTCGAAGGCGTATGAGCACGGCTCTGCGGCGGGCCGTGGGGGCACGAATGGGCACAGGACTGTGGAGGGAGCTCCAGAACACTCCAAAAATTTGCAAGGCACCATTTTGAGAGCGAGGTTCATGATTGGATCTTGCAATGCACGCCGACTCCGGCATGAAGAGAACTGCAAGAGGAAAACCTCTTTTTTCAAGGATCCCATAGTGTTGCCATGCTGTTTGGGGAACGATCACACATCTGACTAATCGATCTTCCAGCAGTATGCAGCCCATCGCAATGTGAACCGATTCCCATGAGGCACATGTTCCAGAAGAGGGAATGACTGCATGGCTGCAAGATTTTCAGGCTATGGCATGCCCCTCAGTACTTTTGGGATACCCGCGGGCCGCCTTGTCCAGTGCATTGACACGTGAGGCAGAGGACGCCCGCGTCCAGTTCGCTGCAATTGCTCCTTTCCTCGCAGAAAAGATGCGCTTCCAGTCTGGCCGGGGGCTCGGCCCGTGGCGTTGTAGATTGTAGGGGATACAGTCTGCGGTGTAGCGCTGACCAAGGGGTTGACATTCCAGCTTCTCGTGGATTCGGCTTCCATGTCATCGAGTTGCTGCCTGAGTGAATCTGTTGAAGCCATGCGCTGGAAGCAGATCTCTGAGCTAGGCAGGGCGGCAGCTACTTCCCAAGGACACTGCCAATCTTGATTTCTGGCGTCGTAGACCGTGCAATAGCTGCGAAGCCTTGATGCACAGTTGCATCAGTCGGACTTGTTAAAGGAGGTGGGATGAAGTGCTGCTGTGGAAGGGCAGCAGTGCTGCAGCCAAGTGGGAAGGCATGTTGTCTGCATGGCAAGATGCCGAGTCAGAGTGAGGTGAATGCGCTGACAATGAGGCGGTGCTGTGCAGCACTAGCGTATTTTCATGATTCATCAGTTTTACGAGAAGCAGGAGGCTTTCAATGATGCCATCAGCGCAGTCTCCAAGTCGGTATCGGAAGGCGTCCGTGGGTCATTCCCGGCATGCATGTGTAGACTGAAAGTGCTGATATTCGGCTGAGCGCCGCTTTGCCTCGCAATCGTTGAAGTGGTATTATACGGTGGTATCCTGCAAGTGCTTCGGAGGCAGCAGCTCGGATGTTCTCTTGCGCTTCATGCACCTTCGGGAGCTTCGAGAAAGTGCGATGAACTCAGCAAGATGAGGCAAGTTGCCCTCAATTTAGGCAATGTTGCGAATGATTTAGTGAGTAAAATTCAATGGGGAGATCTTCAGCCACGTGGCACATGACAGGTTCATGCAGCCTCTGCATGAGCTTGCAACAAGCACAGCCAGAAGCAGTCAACATGCGGAATCCAGAAGCCTTCACGTTTGGGCACCATCGTGGAGTCGTTGGGTGCTCTGAGCCATACGAGGTCGAGGGTGCGTCGTACTCCAGCATCACCTCTTTTCGGGCGGTCGTGTTCGTTCCCTACGAGGTGGTACTGCTCTGTATCAGATCTGACGTATGCCGTAGCACGGAGGTGCTGTTGATGACCTTCTACGAACTCTACCATGCCGCTGGATCCTGAGAGCTTTATCGTAGAGCCGAGAACGAAGCCTAGCACCGGAAGGCGATTCCGCTCTTCATTCCCGCGAAGGACATTGGCACTCTTTGAGATCTTGGGAGATCTTACAAGTTAAAGACAGCAAGGAGATTGGTGTCTTCTTCATGTATCGAGGTCCCGTGCACCTCAGCCACAACTACACAGACAGGGCATGCTTGTACAGTTGGTGTGTACCGAGGACATTTCCGCATTGTGACCAAGTACTGTCCCAGACAGATGAGACAGGCTCGCCGTGCATGTCGACGAACTTTTCCAAAAATGCTGCGTCAGGTCAGATGCGCAGCACTACAAGACAGGCAGCCAGACCCGCATGCCAATGGAGAGGAGTGCATGGACATGTGCAATGGAACCAAGCACAGCTGTGCTGCAGATGCCACCCTACTCGCCGTTTAACCGGCAAAATGCCAGGACCCTGAAGTTTGCCCGGCAAGTTCGTAAGCGGCGTCGGTTTGTGACCGAGGTGGAGGCGAGGCTGTCATGGCTGGAGGCAGGCAGCGAAAACCGGATGCAGCTGGATCCTCGATGATGCATCGGGCATTGTTTCCCGGAGGCATATACCGACTGGTACCGGTGGCCACACAACCAGCGCTTGCCCTGGAAGTGTGCTTGTCGGTGAAGCAGCCGCTAGGCAGCTGTGACTTGCTGACTGCTTCATCTTCGGCTCCAGATTGCCCGCATTGAGACCGGATTCCGTGGAACATGTGTTGTTGTGTTAAGGTTGCATGAGCACAGAAGCAGCACTTACTTCCTTGACTGCCGAAGTAATGCGCAAGCGATCTGTCCGAGCTGCTTGATGCATGGTTGCTCAATCCCAGGCACGCAGTTGGGAGCGCGCTGCTACAATCGTGTCTAAGCGATTCGATGGGCATGGTGACCACAATGCAATTCTACTGCGATGCACATACAGCTTTTCAAACTGCTGCAGGAGGATGACGTGGCGACGGCTGCTCTGCTGCTCAACTCTGCTGGAATACAGAAAAATCTGTTCCCGAGCCTCGCCGGTAATCAGTCACGAGAATTCATGGCGATTAACCATTGTGTCACTGGGGCAAAGGGCCCTGCTTGCTGCCGTTCTTGCTGCGTCCTTCAGTTGAATAGAATGGATGTTTCAGCCTTTGCAGATGCTGGCTCCCTATTTCCTTCCGGACTCTCCCGCTCTCTCTCCGGCTCTGTCTCTCTCTCTCTCTCTCTCTCTCTCTCTCTCTCCCTCTCTCTCTCTCTCTCTCTCTCTCTCTCTCTCTCTCTCTCTCTCTCTCTCTCTCTCTCTCTCTCTCTCTCTCTCTCTCTCTCTCTCTCTCTCTCGCTCGCTGGCCATCTTCTTCCCTCCTCTCACCGCTGGCCCGATTTGCATCGATTTCGGTCGATCTCTCTCCGTCTTTGTAGCCCCGTGTGTTTCCGGTTGAAGCGGGTTCGTTTCAAAAGCATGTGCGAGCGAAGGGGTCGTATGCTGACTTTCCGACAGCTCAGGAAAACTTACCACATAAAGCTCAGCAAAGGCGGGTTCTGAATGTACTGAGCACACATGGTCACCCCCACAGACATTTCGACTCACATCACGGCGGTTGGCTCGCATCTGCACTTGGAAATCTTGTGTCGCAGTGGGTTGAACGAGTTGCTCCAATGGGAGACGAGAAGCTTCTCGCTTTTCGAGGCTTTGTTGCCTACTTGATCTTCCTAACAGTATTCGTGCAGCTTGGCAGATGTGTGTGTTTGCAGAATCTTGCCGCTACCGGAAGCAGTTTGTTCTGCGTCATGCGTCAGGCAGCACATGGCAGCAGCACGCTGGTTGTTCCCCAAGGTTTGCTTACACGCTCGTCATTTACTATGCACCTCAGATACTCGGGTGTGATCTGCCGGAGTACGAGTTTGTCGGATGTTTGGGCATCCATTGACCGCGTCTGCCTTCGTAATCCAAGGAGTGGTTCTGAGCCAAGAGGCGCGACGTGCTGATGTCGATGCTAGTTGCCGTTAATCGTCCTTCTCCCGAGCTCTTCATCGCAGGTGTGGCCTTCGAGCACTTGCTCTTCTTTGATGTAGCGTATGCATCTCGATCTTGATTAGCTGATTTGCTCTTGATAATCGGGAGAAGCCTTCTGCATGTGCAGTGTCGAATGAGCTGCTCAGTGTGGAGCCATCCTCTTCTTCATTCTGATGCAAGTTCCCCGCAGAGTGGCCCATCACTTAGTTTCGTTCTCATGCTCTGAGTGCTGCTTTGGAAGTAGTGCTTCAGTTGGAAACAGTTGTGCAGACATTATTGATCTGGGCCGCACGGTGAAGCAACACGGAAATACGCGCCAGCGTGGGAACATGAGCACGAGCTCGTGCATGGCAGCTTTTCGCAAGGTCTGTACAATGATCACCGCCAAGGCTATTTTCCAAGGTTTCCTCATAGTTCTCAGACTCATTTGGAAAGGTACGTCGGGCTTTTCAGCGAGCAGCTATGCGATTCATCAGAGAATCAGACGACTTCCCGTTGAGATTGCAAAGTTGCCAACCCAGCTTTTTCATCTGACGACAAGGTCCGGGACAATGACAGCCTCAAGATCGTGTTTTGCTGCAGGACGAGGGATACACCCTTTGACGGATGTTACGCTAGCTGAAACCCATCAGGACCAGGCTGGTGCCGATTGAGTCGTTGGTAGAGATTCGCATTGTGCGCCGAAGACGATGCTGCGACAAGCAAGGAAGGCAACCTTGCCGGCAAGAGAGTGTGCTGTCAAACAACGGGTGATAATTCTCACTTCGTTTCAGAGATCCTGAACGTGAACCAGGTTGTGCATTTATCCAGGGAAATGCTTCTGGGGCTATCCAACCAACTTTGACCAGAACGTCATCGTTGTCACAGATTCTTGCTGCGCCACAGCAGCAGTTGGAGTGACCGTTTCATTTGATCATCAGTGTATGCTGTGCTTTATGTGATCTGAGTCCTGAGCGTGCCTACAAAGGTAACAACTATTTTTTCTGTCTCCACGACATGGAGGCCTTGCTTGGAGCTTGGAGGTATGGGAGGCTCTGTGTAAGCAAGTGTTCCCCTTGAGGAGTTTGTGCTGGACAACTGGCCGGCGCTGGAAGAGGAGGGAGAAGAAGCAGATGAGCAGGTGAAGGCGCAACATGGAATGTTCCGCAGCTTGCAGTGCAATGTCACTATGCGGTGCTCAGCTGGGGTTTGAACCTCCAGGTCCAAGTCGAGCCGGCAATGATTGGCTCCAAGTGCTGAAGCTCCAACATAAGCTGTTGTGGTTCTCCGAACCGTGAGACCTTATGTCTTAGTCTTATTGTCAGTGGTCAAGCACCAGTTTGACTCTGCGGTTTGCGCGGAGTTGTGCTAGCGCAATCCGGCGATCCTGTCCCAAAGTTGCGACAGTTTCGATGAAGTTCCCAGGAATCGGAGAGCAAGAGTCAAGATGATGGCTTGAAGTCTCATTGGGAGCATCACCTCCGATTCCGGCGTGATTTACATAGATTCGCTCAGCGACTATCCTTTGCCGCGTCGAAGGGCTGGCAAGACTCCGGCAATTGAGATGTTCTTGAGACTGTAGCACGTAGCCGCGTCGTGACCCCGGAGCCCCGTGCCTAGAGTTTAAGTAGCTTGGCCGAGTAAGAATTTCATCTCTGAAGTTGACGGTTTCGAAAGTGTCGCGGAACTGCTTTTGATTTAGGCCTGCCATGAGCCTTCCTGCTTGAGGTAGTCTGGGGATTGCGGGGAACAGAAGCGCTGCTGTTGAGGCAATACTCCTCGGTGGCTGACTTGGTGTGGAAGCTCTATGAGACTGATCTGCAGGCTCAGCTGCCTGAGGGCCGTAGGATCGTACAAAGCCCCCAAGCTCGCTCAAGCTTGCTTTGGCCAAGGCTGTCAGCGCAGCAATGCGCTCGGAGACCGCAAGAGCCATGGTAGGCGCCCGTTGAAGCAGAAGAGTCATGTCTGAGCACACGTCCGCGGTGAAGGCGCAAGTGCGTTTTGGAAGGCCGCCTTCGAAAAGGCGGGCTGCGTTTTCGAAGTTTTGAACTGTTTCCAGATGTCGCGAACAGCTGGGAGGTTCTCGCAGCAAGTCGTGGTGGTTTCTGAGGCAAGATCGGGTAGGGGCTTGAAACATTGGGACGGAGGTGGGAAGCTAGAAGCGACAAACTGCTACAGGGCTGTGAAAACCGTGGGGTTGAGTAGAGGCCAAGACGGCCTGGGTTTTACGGGGCAACCGTAGGTGTAAGGCCCTCCGGGCTTAGCGTTTCACCCCTAGACGAAGAGGCTGAGATGGTTGAGGAAGCCGCCAAAAGGAGAGCGGCCGCCAAGGCAACGCTTCAGGTGTTGTCGAAGCAAGAGAGGAAGAGCAAGAGAGAGAAACAGAGAAAGAGCGAACAAAAGGGCTCAGGAGCAAGCGCAAGCAGACAAGTGGCAGCAGCAGCACAGCAGCAACGGCAGCAGCAGCCAAGCCAGAGGCAAGAGGAAGCAGCGCAGCAGCAACAGCAGCAGCCGAGCCAGAGTCAAGAGGATGCTAGTGACGATCGGTTCGCCGAGGAGCCAGAAGCTCCAGGTGAAGAGCAGCAAAGGGCTGTGGTGCCAAAGAGCCCAGACCAACCGACAGCCGACCAGATCGCACAGCACGAAGCCTCGGGGCATGCAGTGCACCGTTCATGGTGTGTTCATTGCCAGAGGGCACGCAAGATGATCAAACCACACCACAGGGTTCGACGGGCCGAGCTCGAGACCTCGTTGCCGACACTGCACATGGACTACTTCTTCCTAGGCAAGGACAAGCAGGAGGATCATGTGATGCCACACCTTGTGGTGCGGTGCGATAAGACGAATCGCACATGGGCCACGTCTCTGCCTGAGAAGGGGACACACCACACCCCTACAATGTGACGTGGTTGGCAGGCATCATCCGCGAGGCCGGCTGGAAGAAAATGTGTCTGTTTTCGGACAACGAGAATGCCATGAAGGCACTCAAGCTTAAGGCCAGCGAAGAGGTGAAAGGCGTGGAGTTTGATCTACGAGAATGCCCTACGAGCACAGAGCATGAAAACGCACCAGCCAACGGTGTAGCCGAAGCGGCTGTTAAGGAAGTGAAAAGAATGGTTCGAGCTATCCTGTCGGAGCTGGAGACAAAGCTCAAGATCGAGGTTGGCGTGGATCACCCGATCCTCGCCTGGATCGCGAGACACGCAGCGTTTCTCATGACACGCTTTCGCATAGGCGAAGACGGGAAGTCAGCTTACGAGCGAGCGCTGGGTCGACCGTGGAGAAGGCCGACCATTGTCTTCAGTGAACAGGTTATGTTCAAGCCAGTTGGAGCAAGGCACAAGCGTGGAAGCTTGGAGGCCAGAGTCTCTATGGGTCGGTACATTGGAACTGCGTCCCGCAACGCAGACCTGATGATCATGACAGCCGACGGCATAACACGGGGCCACTCCCTGCACAGGAGGCCCGAAGCCGACAAGTGGCCGACTGAAGGATTCGCTGAGTTGCGCGGGTTGCCCTGGAGGATGACCGGTCCACAGGAGCGTGCGCAGCCAAACAGGGTTGGCATGCCAGCACTCGAGGGCGAACAACCCGTACCGCAACAGCGAGACTTCAAGGCACGCAACTTGTATGTCATGAAATCCGACATAGAGCTGTACGGCTACACACCTCAGTGTCCGGGGTGCGATGCGCAGCTGATGGGTCTCCCGCAGCGAGCGCACAACGACGAATGCCGTATGAGAGTGCAGAGAAAGCTGCAAGAAACCGAGGAAGGAAAAGAGAGAGTGACGAGGGCCCAAGAAAGGGTCGAAAAGGACTACGGGAGAAAGGTCAGGAGAGACCAACCTGCGTTGGAAGGAAGACCTGCACCCGACGCCATGGAAGTTGCAGCAGAAGAAGCTGCAGGCGCACCGCTGTCGAGGCCAATGGAGGTCGAGGAACCCCAGGGCGCCAGGACACAGCGGAAGAGAGCACCTTCCAAAGACGTCGAGGACCTCTATCGGGAAGAGCCGAGACAAGGCCTGACCGATGGTCCAGATGTGGAGGTCGTTGGGGCCAACTTGCACGGAGGTGCAAGTGGCTCAGCAGGACCGGGTCTAGACCACTCTCACGGTCAAGCAAAGGCCGATGCAGAAATGCACGACGCAGCGGCGAATCCGCCGCCCGCTGGCCAGGAAGCTCAAATTGGGCTGATCACAAGGATGTTTGAGCAGAAGGGCATGAGGTGTAGCCCCGCCGAGGCGAAGGCTATCAACTCTATGGTTCGTCAGCTTGGAAGGGATGGCAATGCATCTGTGCCCTGGAGCACAGTGAATGAAGGCATCATCCTTCCGATGGATCGCGAGGCACCCATGTTCAAGCAAGCTGAACATCTGCGTTTCTTCGAAAAGTTGGAACGCGTGAAGCCTAAACTCCTGATGGGGAGACTGCCGACTGGACCGTTCCAGTCCGTGCAGCGCGCCTTCGACACCACTAACAAAGTGGGAGCTGAAACCAGGCGTGAGAACCTCAAGAAGTCCCGTTCACAACTTGGACTTTGCTTTGAGGCCTTCCAGGCACAGGTGGAAACAGGAAACGACTTCCTTTACGAGTGCCCAAGAGGTGCGAAGTCTTGGGAGCATGAACTTGCTCAGAGACTAGACGCATATCTGGTGGAAGGACCAATGTGCAAATGGAAAGTGGACGAGAGCGGCAAGCTCATTGCAGGGCAATCGGGCAAGAAGCGCACCCGCTGGATTACTAATTCGGCGACGGTTGCGACAGCTCTGGAGAAGCTCTGCAAGGACTCCACAAAGGTGTGGAACAGAGAGCTTTCCCTCAAGGAGGGGATCGTACAGGCAAAGGCCGAGTACCCTCCGAAGCTTGAAAGGGCACTGCTCGCACGAGTCAGGGCCCAGCTGGTCCTAGATGGAGAAATGAGGGAGGTCGGACACGTTGGAGGGCCAGACCTCCACGAGGAACCACCTCTCGAGGAGTATCTCCATGATTCGCTTCCGAAGGCAGGACAGCTCTACGTGAAGGAGCCTGTCATTGATGCGAATACAGGGGCCGAGTTAAACCCAGCAAAAGTTGCAGAGGCCCGAGCCTCCGAACTAGCTTGGGTGAAAAAGCAAGGAGTGTATGAAAAGGTCGATGAAAGTGTCTGTTGGGCTGAGACTGGACGTCCGCCCATCACCCTGAAATGGGTAGACCGAAACAAAGGGGACGATGTGAAAGAGAACTTCAGATCCAGATTGGTGGTGCGAGAAGTCAAGAGCCAAGGGCAAGCAGCACTGATCCTGGACTACGCGCTGTTCTCTTCCATGCCACCTTTGGAAGGACTGAAGATCCTATGCTCGTTGCTCACGAGCATGAAGCGGTCAAGCTCAGGGAAACAACTGACGCTGAAATTGACTGATATTTCACATGCGCATTTTTACGGCAAAGCAGAACGCCGAGTGTTCGTCACATTGCCGGAAGGAGACGAAGAGCCCGGCAAGTGCGGCCTGCTAAAGCGTACGATGTACGGCACAAGAGACGCTTCAGCCGTCTGGCAAAGGTCGTACATTAATTACACTTCTGAAGAAGCACGGTTTCCAGACCGGAAAAGCTTATCCGTGCACCTTCTATCACGCCGGAATGGACGTGAGACTTTTGGTGCATGGGGATGACTTTCTTGTCCTAGCGGACGAGGATGGTCACCGCTTTGTGGACAAAATCCTGTCTGAAGAGTACGAGTTCAAGTGTGATGGTCACATAGGGCCTGGATGCGAGAAGGACAGCATGACTGTTCTGAACCGGGTGGTGACCCATGACCGTACGACGGGAACTGTCACCTATGAGGCGGACCCAAGGCACGCAGAGGCTTTGATCCGTGACTTGGGAATGGAAACTGCAAAAGCAGCAAAGACACCAGCAGAGAAGAAGAAAGGCAGCGACCTGAAAGCAATGCTGGAGTCACAGCCGTTGAACGCCGAACTTGCAAAGCAATATCGTTCACATACGATGCGGGCAGCGTTCCTAGCACAGGACCTCCCGGACATTGCTGAGGCAACTAAGAGTTTGGCGCGGCACATGAAGGAACCGACAGAGTTCGCATGGGCCGACTTGAAGAGGTTAGTCCGCTACCTGCGCGGCAACCCACGGCTGATCTACGAGTACCATCCGCAGCGACTGAGCAAAGAGATCGTCATGTACTGCGACTCAGACCACGCGGGATGTCTCATCACGCGAAGGTCCACCACAGGACTCGTGACAATGCTTGGATCTCACTGTGTCAAGCACTCTTCCAATGTGCAAAGTACCATATCCCTGTCAAGTGGGGAGAGTGAGTTCTACGCAATCGTCAGAGCAGGGTCCATTGGACTATCGCTGCAGGCGATGCTGGATGACTGGGGTGTAAAGGTTGGACTCAGGATCCGATCAGATTCCTCAGCGGCCCCAGGTACTACTCAACGCCAGGGCCTGGGTCAAGCACGCCACGTGCAAACGCGGTACTTGTGGGTACAAGAGAAAGTGGCAACGCGAGCCTTGGAGCTAGAGCGCGTTGGCACAGAAAAGAACTACAGTGACATCTGTACAAAGCCAATGCCAGAAGTGGCAATTCTGAAACACCTCAAGAGCATGGGACTGCGTTTTCATGCTGGTCGAGCCGGAGCAGCGAAGCGGCTCGTGTAAGCCAGTCAAACGACCACCTGGCTTAGGCGGGGTGATTAGATTTGTAGGTGCCACGTAGCATGTTTCACATAGCATGTACATGCACGCATGACATTGGCTCAAGCCGTCAAAAGATGTGCACCTTGCGGTGTAAGTTCTGCCTTAAACTCCGTTCAGGGAATCAGGAATAGTTCATCATGCCCCCCGCAGACCGAGGGTCCGGCAGCGCTTGGGCAGAATTACTACCGGGAATCACACACACATACCCAGTCTGAGCTGGTTGTCTTGTCGTCATCTCTCTTCGCGCTTCGAATTGTGCACTCTTCAAACAGGCATACGAAGCTTGCATTCAGAATCTCCACAGAAAGTCTTGAGAAGAGATTTGGGTGTATTCGGCAGGTACGTTTGCACACTTACCATCGGAGGTTTTCGTTGGCCGCAGCTCCGATGGTAAGCCTGCGGCCCCCTTGCATCCCCAGCATTCTCGTATGTACATTACAAAACTGTCTGAGAAGATGCCTTCCTTTGAAACAGGAATTCCACACACACACACACACGTATACCTCTCTGAAGAGGAGGCAACCCGGTCTGCCACCTCCTTGCTGTAAAAGTCTCTGCGCATTAGTAATCAAGATTATCACTTTGCAATAAAGAATGCTAATCAGATGACAGTGGTACTGGAAATTAAATTAAAATAGATATCCCTGATGACTTATAATCAAATAGTCTATAGGAAGTATAGTAACTCATTTGATATTGAGAAAAATACAAAGATTGGGATGACTTTAATATCTTAAAATCCAACTTACTCTTAGAACTATTCTCATGGACCTGGATTAATCCGACATGGACTAGCTACTTAATTATGATGCACTAAGTCGAAATATCTATCAATAGAATAGCATCGCTTCGAAGGATACTGGTTGCGGTAACTGTTACTGAAGTTGATATAACACAGAAGGACCAGATATTGTCGAGTTGTGAATAGAAATGGCCAGAGTACAATGTGAAAAATGAAATTCCTTGCAATGATTTAATATTCATTCGAAATCTTCACTAGTGAAGTATTTTATGGTCTCGAAATTAAGTAATGAATCACTTAATCTCTGATGCAATTATTTCTCCATACCCCATATCAACACCTTCGACTCTTGGCCCGTCTTCATAGAGCCTTTAAAAACAGGGTTCAGTTTTTGTATGTACATTTAATATGATATTATGTTGTGCGTTTTGCTACATGTCTGTGCTCATTCTCTCATGTGTTAGTCTCAGAGCCCATATTGCTGCATGCATATGTTTGCACAGGTATGCGCACACAGGACGCATGCGTGCAGGTCTACGCCTTTTTTCCAGTACGACAAACAGCCGTATGCAATTGTAAGACACGACATACCCTACATTCTCTTGGAGAAGCTGACAGGGATTTATCGCACGTATACTCTTTTAGAGTTGTGCAGATGTTAATTTCCAAAGCCGCCACTCATCGAACCGGAGATAATGTTCAGAGCCGCCGCAAACGACGAATAGAACATGTTTGAAGCGATGGATTTCCGTTCCTGCGCGCATGCGATTTCACGATAGACATGAACACTTGTTTACTATATTACTACAATGAAAAAATATATATATATATATATATATATATTTGGATGCACACTACCTGGAGTCAGAAAACCAACGACCTTTGGATAAGTTCTGGGCGCAGTGGGCATACTGAGGCTCTGCTCGCGCGGATCTGCGAAACCAGTGATGTTGTCCCAAACTTCTATGGGAAACTTGCTGCCCAGGCCGGCTTGCACTGACCATGTCCATGCCATGGCCTCACTAAAAAAACAAGTGATGATATATGCGAGCCAATGCTGCGAATTTGAGACTACGCATTGCATCATGAGCACAGTTGAACGAATCACGTCAACAACATCATTCGCACGTGTGATTGCAGTTTTTTTCCGCACCGCGTCAAGCGATGAACGACGAAATCAAGACCCAAGAGGTATGCTACGGCTCACTTCTCCAGCGTCTGGATCATGACACCTGTTTGCTTCCACAGGTTTTTTCCGCGGTTCCAAAACAACCACTGCGCTGAGCGAATCTTCCTAACGAGAAGAGGGTCACCAGGATTGCGCGCAGTATGGCGAAGATGATCGCGGATATGCCGCCAGCAGCGGTCAATCACCTTGTATGTTAGAAGATGTTTTAAAGGGTTATTATCTGTATATATAGGTTGAAACGATTATATAACATAGTCTAATTATTATGTATTCTTAATTTTACAAAGTACTTGCCTGAGTTCCGCTGTTGACGGTGAGCTTCTTACCATCTGGTAACTGGATCTTGTAGATCTTCGTGTAATGTGGCTTTTCCCAGACGGCCTCAGATGTGACGTCAAATTATCTCAAATTTACGTGGCGATTAAATTTACCTCTTACGACATGTTTTCATGTATGGACAAATACGTGATATAAACAAGTAACCTTGCCCTTCACGATCTTCTTCTTTTTTTGATGTACCACATTACAATGGACGACATCCGGAAGCTTCAATTTGTAGGATCGAGCACCATCCGTGTGTAAGATCACCCCTTTCCCCGCCAAGTATTTCTCCGCGATAGGTTTCCAATCTTGCTTCCTGATCGGTCCGGGGCCTGGTGCACGCCGATCAGTAAGTGCTGGACTCAGGCGAAACAGCCGCAACGATGAGGGGCGCCCTCGTTCCACCAAACCACCCCATTGCTCCCATCTTATGCACAAGTTTTCGTTGATGGGCTCGTTCACCACACCCTTCCCAAGGTCCACTTCATCTGCCTCGACATCTCTCCATTTCCCATAGACGATGTCCTTTTCCTTGAGGTGAACATATCTCGTGCGCGTGGTTTCGAGGTTACTGTATATGGTCGATATGATCTTCTTGTTGGCATCGAGGAGGAGATGGGTCTGCACTGTGGTCAGGCCTATGATCGCGCAGAAAAGAATTGCCGCCTGAATTGCCAACGAGGTGATGCTGTTTCCACTGCCCTGAACGAAGATTGGATGAAAGCTATGGGGCTGAACTCGACGCATGCATGCCTTACGGTTGCACCGGTACGCATAGATACCCTTGATGTTGGAGTACTGGAGGGACGTCAAACTCTTTTCGCCACAGTGCGGACATATCTTCATCTTGGTGAGAATGCCGTCCTTCTGGAGAAGCTTGATCAAGGGCAGCGTCTTTTTCTTGAGAAACATCTGCACAGAAATACCCCGCCGCACACGCTCGTTTCGAGTTTTCGTTGTAGGATCACCATGACGTACATAGGGGATTCTTGTGCTGCTTGCGGGTTTCTTGAGGATGCTGGCAGGCTTCCGGAGTGCACGAGCCTTTCCGCGCTTGGGAGCTGGAAAGGGAGGATGATTCTTCGCCTTCATGATCTTCTTGGCCATGATCGAGATAACCATCGGCTAATGGGATCGCTGATTTCCGAGGCCAAATGCTTTGAACATGATGTGTATTTTTAATAGACAATGCATGACATGATAACCTGCAACTGTTCAATGTTTACCTCTTCTTCCTCTTTCCTGTGGCCGCGTCATGTAGGGGTGAGAAGCTCAGAATCAAAATGCTTTCCCCCAGTGATACGTGTATACTCTTATTACAAAGCATATTTGTATATGATATTACTTACTATATACATATATGAACATATGATGACAATGTTTACAGATTGGGCCTATATCGGCGGAAAGCCTCTACGAGCCAACCTTGCTCCCACTGTACGCGAGCATCATGATCCTCAGGCACGGAGCCACCCTCCTTGTAGTTAAACAAGATATGCTTGGAGTCCTCTTTGATGATGTCCACCAGCCACGTTTTGTATGGGACATTCTGGGGAGTGGAGTTCGGGATACGCCAGTAGATTGCGGTCTGGGACATGATAATGAAGGCCGATCGCTTCAGAATAAGCATAGCATCCGCGTCTGTGGTTTCGCCTTAGTTTGTGTAGAATGGAAAATAAAACAAAAGCTTGTATCAATGAGACATATTTATTATGCTTTCAATATTGTTATGATCATAATAAATCCAAGCACCCAGCGCCGGACGAATGATTTTCATGAACACATCATGCTCAATGGCATCACCAGTGATCTTGGGCTCCTCTGTGGGGTCGTACGCGTTGTTGATGATCACTCGGAGCTGATTCGGCTTGAAAGGCAAGGCGTTCCAACGCTCAGCTCCATTAACCTCGTCACCTGGTACGTCTGATAGGGTTTTTTCTTTTTGAACGAGTCGATCTCGATATCCCCATCATCGTATATTACAGGGATATGCTTGGAGAAGCCACCACCTTTGAGGAGATTCAGAATAGATGTGCTTCGACATGCACAGCAACCACCATGATAGCGACTGAACATCATAGCCACTACCATACCCAACGAGGTCTTTCCTTTCCCTGATTCACCAAGAATCCAGAGAGCATGGTCATAAAGATGAGGGGCAATTTCCTGCATGATCTCCTGAATCGGCTCCTCGAAATCAGCAATGGTGAGATCATACCTTGTGATGACAGGTACTGTGGTAGAACGCGTAGACGAGAGTTCCGAAGATCTTGCCGATGTCTTGACCGTTTTAAGCATCCCAGCAGGCTTCCGAAGCACTCGTTGAGCTCCATTGGTGTGCGTAGATGAGGATTGAGACTTTGCATTCATGGTCTTCTTGGCCATAGCACAGACGAGATTCAAGTAAGTATATGCCTAATCTTTGATACAGGAAAAAGCTTCAATCGATATACATGAATGGAACATAACAACTGGCACCATCCTCATACAAGATTATAATCGCTCCGCGCCTTTATTTTCGTTCCGCTATTGTAAGCTCTGTGGGCAACGGTGAAAAGCTTGAATACAAAACGCTTTTCCGAACCGCCAGGCATTCTGTATGAAAACAAAACTTCTTTATGTCATAACTTCTGAGTGAAAGAATGTATTATCAGTTTATATCGCCCAATACAGTAACCATTTGCTGGCAGTTATGTTCCAGAATAGTTTCCTAATGCACGATGAGTCCTCAACCAGAAGGTGACGCGACATCCATGACATCATTCTCCTCATCCTGCTGCTCATTCACAAGGCGCTCAAGCTCCTCCTCTACGGAATCCTGTTCATTCTCGCAGCCGAAGTCCGGATTGGGAATGTCCTTGGGGAGGTCATTGGAGAGGTCATCGCTTCCTCGTGCCCTTTTCTTTGGTGATGGCGATGGGGTTTCCAAATTGATGGGTCGATCGCGGGTTTCTGAAGACAACGACTTCGCCCAAACCAACCTTTCACGTTTGACACGAACAGCTGGAGGTGGGACAGCATTGTGGTCGATCTCATCTGCGTGTGGTTCACATTGACGAATAGCTTCGTTCAGCCATGACTTTTCCCATAGTATTCGAGCATCATGATCATCGGGGACAGGTCCAGACTTCTTGTAATTGGCCAAGATGTGCTTGGATTCCTCTTTGATGATGTCCACCTGCCAAGTCTTGCACGGGACACTTTGTGGAGTTGCACTAGGAAGACGCCAATAGATAGTGGTCTTGGAGATGATGATGAAGACCGAACGCTTCAGGATAGCCATTGCATCCACCTCAGTGATATCGCCTCAGTTGTACTATCGACTATCTATATACAAAAAATGACACCAGCGAAGACCCCAAACAGAATGCATCGAATCATACCGGTTCAAGTTGGAATGTGTTGGATCCCAATCTGGCTTCGCCAGCAGATCTTGCGAAGAAGAATTAGGCATTGGGCGATATATTTCTGCGAAAGAAGAGTGGGTGGTGGGACTCAAGCATGTGGGAGGTTTTTGGGAGTGTCCAGGGAGCATCGTTCAGAGGATCTTGCTGCAACACCATGCACGGAAAACATGCACATTTCTCCCGCAACTGCAACTGCCACATGGTTGCCGCCTTTGCAAAACAGGATACCTGGCCTCTGCTGCAAACGTTCGCGGACGAAGTGCAAAAGAGCTTGGTGTTCGCTTCGGTTGGCTGTCGGACGGGAAGAAAACGAGAACTTTGCCGTGCATGTTTGGCAAGAAAGGTAGGAAGGGATTTGTCGGCTTACAAGGCAAACAAAAAAGCTCTCTTAACACGGAACCATTCACGTTTTCTCTGCTGACCGAACGAAGAGCATTGTCCACAGGATTTTGTTGCCGCAGGAACCGCACAAAGAAAAAACGCAACTTCTCCACAATTTTCATAACATTACCGTTTTGCAAAACAGGATTCCTTGCCTCCGCTGTAGACATTGGAGGAAGAAGCACAACATAGGGTGCTATATGGATCGGTTGGCTGTCGCACGGGAAAAAAGTGTGAACTTTGCCGCGCAATTTTGGCGAAAAGAAGCGCGCACAGGGGTGCGTCGGCTTACAACACAAAACAAAAATCTTTCTTTACACGGAACCATTCACGACTTTTTCCGCAGACCGAACGAAGATCCATAGAATCTTGCTACCGCAGAAACCACGCACGGAAAAAACACGCAACATTGCCGTTTTGCGAGACAGGATAAGTGGCCTCTGCTGCAGACGTCTGTGGAAGAAGCACGAAAGAGGTTGGTATACAGATCGGTTGGCTGCCACACGGGAAAAGGTAGGAACTTTGCCGCGCGAACTTGGGAAAAATAAACGCAAAGGGGTTTGTCGGCTTACATCGCAAACAAAATCTTTCTTTACACGAAACCGTTGACGATCTTTTCCGCCGACAAAACGAAGAACGTCGTCCACAGGATCTTGCTGCCGCAGAAACCACGCACGGAGAAACACACAAGTTGCCCTTTACACGGAACCATTGTCGATTTTTCCGCAGATAAAACGAAGAACGTCGTCCACAGGATCTTGCTGCCGCAGAACCACGCACGGAAGAACACACAACCTTCCCGCAACTGTTACAACATTGCTGCCTTGCAAGACAGGATACCGGATACCTGGCCTGTGCTGTAGACGTTTGTGCAAGAAGCACAAAAGAGGTTGGTTTACGGATCGGTTGGCTGTCGCACGGGACCACTGACGACTTTTTCCACAGACCGAACGAAGAACTTCGTCCACAGGATCTTACTTCCGCAGAAACCACGCACGGAGAACACACACACACACATATAACTTTCCCGCAACTGAGTTAATCCGACCCTCAACAGCAGCACAACGATATTGGGGTAGGATCGCCGGGCAAGGCAAGGAAACCCAAAAGGGAAGCCCAACCCGAAGAGGAACGCAAGCTGCAAGCGTACCTCTTTTCTCATTACTTGAGCCAAAGATCATGTCATTGGCACATTAAGCTACGCAGTCAGACATGTTACCTATACAAGGACAGGGAACGTCGTATTCGATCAACTAACTGCTAACTGTTACAACATTGCTGCTTTGCAAAACAGGATACCTGACTCTTGCTGTAGATGATTGCGGAAGAAGCACGAAGCAGGTTGGTATACGGATCGGTCGGCTGTCGCACGGGAAAGACGGGCAACTTTGCCGCACAAACAGGGCAAAACGAAAAGCGAAGGAGTCGGCTTACCTGGCAAACAACTATTTTCCTTACACGGAACCATTGACAATTTCGCAAACCGAACGAAGAACGTCGTCCACAGGATCTTGCTGCAGCAGAAACCACGCACGGAAAACACACACAACTGTTACAGCATTGCTGCCTTGCAAGACAAGATACCGGATACCTGGCCTCTGCTGTAGACGTTTGTGGCAGACCAGGCGCCCAGGAAGGAAACATTAAGGGAACCCAGCGGGAGCTCAGGCCCTCTGCTGCGGCCCGCCCGTCCAACCCAGGAGCCCAGAAAGGAAACAGGAAGGAAGCCCAATTGGCAATCCCGTTGCCGCGGCCCACCCATCCAATCCAGGAGCCCAGAACGGAAACATGAAGGGAGGTAAACGGGATTGCCGCGGCCCAAGGAAACATGGAGGGAGCCCAACGGGAGTCCAGGTCCAACCCAGCAGTCCAGAAAGGAAACATGAAGGGAGAGCTCAGGTCCTTTGCCGCAGCCCACCCGTCCAAACCAGGAGCCCAGGAAGGAAACATGAACGGAACCCAGTGATAGCACAGGTTCTTTGCCGGCCCACCCGTCCAACCCAGCCCAAAAAAGAATTGAAGGGAACTGAATGGGAGCCCAGGTCCTTCGCCGCGGCCCACCCAGCCAACCCAGAAGCCCAGGAAGGCAACATGAAGGGAACCCAGTGCCAGCCCAGGTTCTTTGCCGCGGCCCACCCGTCCAACCCAGGAACCCAGAAAGGTAACATGAAGGGAACTGAATGGGAGCCCAGGTCCTTCGCCGTGGCCCACGCGTCCAACCAGGAGCCCAAAAAGGAAACGTGAAGGGAGCCCAACGAGAGTCCAACCCAGGAGCCCAGAAAGGAAACATGAAAAGCCCAATGGAGTTCAGGTCTTTTGCTGCGCCCCACCCGTCCAACCCCGCCTAGAAAGGAAACATGAAGAGAACTGAATGGGAGCCCAGAAAGGAAACATGAATGGAGTCCAATGGGAGCCCAGGTCCTTTGCCGCGGCCCAACCGTCCAACCCAGGAGCCCAGAAAGGAAACATGAAGGGAACCCAATGATAGCCGAGGTTCTTTGCCGCGGCCCACCCGTCCAACCCAGGAGCCCAGGAAGGAAACATGAAGGGAGCCCAAGCCCAGAAAGGAAACATGAAGGGAAGTGAATGGGTCCTTCGCCGCGGCCCACCCGTCCAACCCAGGAGCCCAGAAAGGAAACATGAAGGGAAGTGAGTGGGAGTTCAGGGAAACATGAAGGGAAGTGAATGGGAGCCCAGGTTCTTCGCCGCGGCCCACCCGTCCAACCCAGGAGCCCAGAAAGGAAACATGAAGGGAGCCCCATAAAGCCCAGGTCCTTTGCCGGGGCCCACCCCTCCAACCCAGGAGCCTAGAAAGGAAACATGACGGGAAGTGAATGGGAGCCCAGGTCCTTCGCCGCGTCCCACCCGTCCAACCCAGGAGCCCAGAAAGGAAACATGAAGGGAGCCCAATGGGAGCCCAGCCAGTTTGCCGCGGCCCAGCCATCCAACCCACCGCGGCCCACCTTTTTTCTGAGGAGAGAACCCCAAACCGTACCTGTTTGGGGAAATACGAAGCATTAAATGAAGTTTCTAGGTAACCAGTATGTACTGAATCATGCAATGATTATAATTTTCCTTTATATATTATGATTGAAATAAGAAACCCAGCGCTGGACGAATGAGCTTCATGAACACGTCATGGGTAATGGACGGGTTCGGGCCAACGTCGATGATCGTCTCCTCCTTGGGGTCATAGGCATTATCGATGACGATGCGGAGTTGATTTTGATGGAACTTAGCCGCCGTCCACCGCTCCCGCGTAAGTGTTTCCTGATCGGCAACGTCGGAGAATGCTTTTTTCTTTTTGACGGGCTCAGGACCGATATCTCCATCATCGTAAATGGCAGGGATTTCCTTTGTAAAGGGGCAGCCTCTGAAGTAGTCAAAGTCGCTTGCACTGCGGTATGTACCATGACCACCGTGATATCGGCTGAACATCATCGCCACCACCCTACCCAAAGGAGTTTTTCCCTTTCCTGGCTCACCTAGTATCCAAAGCGCGTGATCACGAAGCGAAGGAACGATAACCTGCAAGATCTCCTGAATCGGCTCCTCGAAATCAGCGACAGTCAGGTCGTACCGGGTGATAAGCTTTGCTGTTGTGGAGTCTGTGGCTAGACTATCCAAGCATCTTTGCACGAGGCTGTCTTTCCATCCCTTGATGGGGGTGTCCTGCGAGATAGCTTCTTGAATCCATGCCAACTGTTTGAGATCACCTTTATCCCTTTCCCCGTGGATTCGAATAAACTCAAAGCCCTTGTCGAGTTCCGTCTCAGACTTCTCTACCACGGCCTTGGCTGTTTTTTTCACCATAGGGGTAAGTGCAAAGAACCGATACTGGATTCCTCCCATTTGCTCCAACATCCACTGCAGACCTTTGCGTGCTTGCCTGTTGTCATGATTTCCCCAAATGATTTCATAAGCAGTGCCGTAGACGTACTCCCAGATCGTCGAAGCCTTGATCTTCTCATTGGTGATGTGAATGTGCTTCACAATACAATATTTTCCATTTTGCTGGGGTAGTAGAAACAACTGCATGGTATAGTCAACCTGGAGGTTCTTCTTCAGCTTGAAGGGCTCAGGGAGTTCGTGCCATGCTTTGTCGCGCATAATGGGATGAAGCTGATCATGATTCACGGGGCCTTCGTGGTCGTAGATGATGTCGAAGAAATGTTTCATTTGTTTCACGCCAGGATCGACTTCTCGAATGGGCAAAGTCATGGGAGTAACTGTTCCCAAAGGCGTTGGCCCGATCTTGATGTGTTGTGGAAGCTGTCTAATGAAAAAGTCCGATGTGGCCTCAATGGCGTCCTTTAGCGTCATGTTTTCGGGGTCCATGGCGACAACGATGATGAAAATGACCGCGAATGACGTGGAGTGCTTGATGCGAAATGACTAAGGAAGTAAGGAAGCGCATCCATCAAGAGCAAAATGTGCATCATGAACATGCGGATTGTGAAATAGCATTCATCGTCATTCTTTTCTTCCGCGAACAATTGTGCTGCTGTATTAAAGCTCTGACATTCGCGCATGAATGACCTTGGAGCTTCAGTGTCATGTAAACGACATGAACGAACACATGTAATAACCATTAGGTCCTTAAAACGTACATACATTCATGTACGTCTCGAGTATTGATTAGGCTTATTTCCCTGTAATTATTACAATCAGAAGAATAGTATAATGAACATTGCCCAGCACCGCCAATCGCAAATGTCGCCGGGATACCTGCATTTGTTCTATTGCGCTTAGCTTTGTAGGATTATATGTATTCGTTAATTAGGGTGTTGGGCTTAAGGGTTTAATTAACACGTTTAGCTCACTAGCTGTTTTCCCTGATCAACCCCCTAGTGCACGGAACCTACAGAACGCGCTAATTCACTAAATTAAAGCCTAGCCCCATGTGTTGGATTTAGGGAATTCCCTAGATTCCCTAAATTCCATAATTCCCTACCTCATGGGTTGGATTTAAGGAATTCCCTATTTCCCTAAATTCCCTAAATTCCCTAAATTCCCTAAATTCCCTAATTCCCTACCCCATGTGTTGGATTTAGGGAATTCCCTATTTCCCTAAATTCCCTAAATTCCCTAAATTCCCTAAATTCCCTAAATTCCCTAAATTTCCTAAATTCCCTAAATTCCTTAATTCTGACCCCCATGGATCAGATTCAGTGGTTTCCGTTCATGGGTAGGGAATTTAGGGAATTTTGGGAATTTAGGGAATTTAGGGAATTTAGGGATTTAGGGAAATAGGGAATTCCCTAAATCCAACACATGGGGTAGGGAATTAGGGAATTTAGGGAATTTAGGGAATTCAGGGTTGGTCTTGGGGGGGGGGGCTAGCATATATATATATATATATATATATGTAATATGTGTGATGTGCAGCTGCAGAGTTTTGCTTTCGCTGGTTCGCCCACTCTCTTTCACTCAATCGCTCGCCCCTTCACTCATCTCGCGGGCACAAACTCGTGCAGGGTGGTTCCATGTAATCGCAGGCAGGCGATGCGCCGCAGGTGGGGGGGTGGCTGACGACTCAACATGTCGCATGTGGCTGCGGATGTAATTATAGTATAGGTGCTACCGACAGCATTTGCGGCCCGAGAAGACCAAAAATTGTGATTGTATTGGGGTCATCGTACCTAAGAGTCGAGGATGTTTGTCACCGCCGTCGCCAGCCCGATTTTTAGGAGTCTGCAGCTTCGTATCTTGATGAGTTGTTTTGTTTTACTGTTATTTTATTGATATTTTAGTGGAAGTGCAAACATTTCTCTTGGGAGTTGTAGTGAAACTTGATGTGCATGCTCCAACTTCTGTGCCCCCTGTGTAGTGTACTCGACTGTAGTGGATGCGACTTGCAGGATATGGTTTGTGTAGAAGCAACACCAATATGCGGGCCAGGTGACGTCGAAGCAGAAAGCGAGCTGCCAATGTCACACGGTGGGAGACTTACATCCAGCTCCAGTCCAACTTCGGCAATCCAGTGCCTGCCCACGAGCATGGACGGATTGATTGACTTGAACTTGACGATGCCCTGAAATTGAGCATCAGGGTTACATGCAGCGTCGCTTCGACAAGTCAGAAGGACAAGTCTCGAATTTTCTTGGCCATTTTTCCTCAAGCTACGTTATCCTTTTCGCCCCAGCACAGGACAGCTCATGGCACTTCGAATGCATTGTTCAAGTGAGTGTTACCCCTGCTAAATCGTGCTTTCAGAGAGGACCTGGCTTGACGATGGAGACCATTAGACGAGCCATAGCTGGATGTTTTCCGTTCGCGACTTCTGCATATCTTGTGCGATACATCCAGCTGCAAGGTGTCGTTTGTGTTAGTGCCACCGGGTTATTCTGCACGGGTTTCATTGAAGCGGGACCCAATTTACATGCAATGGGCGGGAGCATCGTCGGACAAACGGAAGATGTTGCTGTGCCACGGCTACACGAACGAAGCATGACCTATGTGTGTCGGAGCAGTCTAGGGCATGACACAAAAGAAATCAAGAGAAGTATAGTTGTGTAGTCCCACGCGCATGTCAGTACCACGCCGAGGACATGCCCAAGCCGAACTAGGGAATAGCGCCGAGGGTTCTGGCAATGGAACCACGTCCTGCGAGTCGGGTCCTGTCGGAGAATGTCTGAGACATAAGTTGTGGAGTAGTGCTGGGATCTATGCTTGCTGGTCTCGCGACATCTCACTATTGTGCACAGGCGTAAGTAAGCGGTTCTGCTTGTTTCTCGCCTTGTGAAAGTCTTCGCGAGCTTTGCAACAACAAAGTTTTTACCAGCTGCAACAAGAGTGCATGTTCCAGATGTCAGGAACAGCCATTGACACGCCGGTTCCCATGGACGATGACCTAGAGGACGAGAAGGAGGGTGGAACAGAGTATGGACCAATCCGGCGTGGAGGCAGAACCGAGTGAGGGGTTCAGTCAACAGTCACTTTGCAAGCCAGCTGTGTGTTTCCACACTTTGAAGGGTTTGCGCAGGTCAATCATCTGAGAGTGGCATCGTTTTCCAACCGACGGAGGTGGAGGATGTAATTGTTGAGACCATCGATGAAGATAACAAGCATGATGGTGAAGCAGACATGCCCTACAGCAAGCCGCACTTCCCTGCTTTGACCCCGAAACTTGGCGGGAATATTGTTGGAGAGCCAGCCATCAACGAGGCATCTTGCAGCACTTCTCTCTGAGGAAAGAACAAGGGTTTAAGAAGCAGATGCGCAGGATCGCCGTACCCGCGCACAGGCGCGGCTTTTGCAAGTAGGATGTTGACTTCCACAACCCATCGTTTGTTTGCGGCTTTCAATCCACACGCATGGCCGCCGTCTATGTGGCTGCGGCATGAACCTTCAACTGCGTTTCGCTTCCTAAACATCTTCGAGAGGGTGCAGGATTTGTTCTGGCCTGGGAAGTGTGATTGGTCGCTGTGAGAAGATGTGAGAAGTCTACGATGATTCAATTTTACAACGTGTTGTAGAATTTCTTGCCCCGAACAGCGAGAATCAAGCTGCAACTGATGCTCGGTGAGAAATTACCTCGCAAAACAGCAAGCAGCATGTTGCATGCCCTGCTGCTCCGCTTCTTTTCTGTCCACTTCGACTGGAGCTGCGCCATGCTGAGCCCCACCAGCCCCTCAAATCTAGGGAGGCCGGCTAGACTGTCGCTGGTGCAGGATGACCCCTTTGAAAGCCGCTTGGGTTCAGCTCATCGAGCCAGTAGTGGAGCACATGAAGCTGCAGGCTTCGGTCTGCAAGCAAGGGGCTCTGACTGTTTCAGTGGTTGCGCATTTCTTGGCTGTTGTATCGTGCACGTGTATTGCCCGGCAGGTGCGGATGAACACGAAGAGAAGAGCAGTAGAAATTCGAAACTCTGAACACACGCCTGACATTGGCTACCTTCAGAAGGCCTCCGACTACATGAAGGCTTTCATGCTAGGGTTTGACCAGCCAGATGCCGTGGCTCTACTACGTTTGGACGATCTCTTCATTCAGTCCTTCGAGGTGAAAGATGTAAAGCGACTGCAGGGAGACCATCTATCTCGTTGCATTGGTCGTATTGCTGGAAAGGACGGCAAGACGAAGTATGCGATCGAAAACGCGACCCGGACACGAATTTCTTTGTGCGAAGACAAGATCCACATTCTGGGTTCCTTCGCCAACATCAAGCTAGCCCGGGACTCTATATGCAGTCTCATCTTGGGCAGTGCGCCTGGCAAGGTGTATACCAAGCTGCGGACGGTCTCAAAGCGGCTGCAGGAACGGATTTGATATCCCACAATATAGCGACTGCGCAGCTGCAAAACTGCAGCATAAGACGCGGCAGCTTGCAAACAAAGGGATCTTCGAAGCCACAGGCCACAGGCAGCTCTCAAAATGGGCCTCGGGATCCCCCCAGCTCTCGTTTCACCCGAGTGCACAACCAGCAAGACATGCAAAAGCTTCTTTTGGCAGCTACCATGTCTAGCCGTTCTGTGTAAGGAGGACGTCTGTGGGAGAGATGTGAGTTTCAAGCGGGCACGGGTGGCCGAGAAGATCTCAAAAGCTTGAAATTTCAGTAGTTTGTGCAGCATCTCCATTAACGCCACGGCCATGGCCGTGATGGGCTCCTCTCGTGCGAAGGAGCTGAAGGTTTGCTTCTTTCTCTTTCTTCTGGCGGGTAAAGAAGTCTACGTGGTGAATGCAGAGCGCACGGCTGTCGATGTGTTCACGGAAGTGGCTGACTTGCAAAAGGCCGCTGCAAGTATCAAGGAGATCAATCGCCACGGAGCAGAACCATTGTGTGACGGGGTACTCTATGGTTGCATCAATCCCAGAATTTGTACGGGTTCTGGCACGGTTTCTGAACCATGATCTGTGAAGGCTGACGCTGACTTGGCGACCGGCTACGCAGCAGACGTGGATGCTTTGTCCGCGAAGATTGACTCCTACGAAAAGAGCCAATCCCTCGCTGAGTTGAGTATCATCGCATATGAGTTGAAAGACATGGAGCAGTATGATAAAGTTCTGGTTGAAAACAAAGGCGGCTCTGTCCTCAAAAGCAAGATCACTGAATTGGCAGACAAAGTGGACCACTACATGGGAACGCTCGCTGCTGCGATGCCAAAGGACAGCTTCTGCTCCATGGTGGATCTTGTAAATGGTTTGAATGAGGCCAAGTCCAGAGGACCAGGGGCCACGGGTTCATCTGATGATTCCAAAGCTTTCCTGAAGAAGGTCTTTCCAGGCATCACAGACGAGGATGTGAGCACGATCATGACTCGAGCAGAAGAGGAGGCTCAGGAGGTGCTCGACTGCGACGAGTCAACACCGGAATGCAGAGAACAGCGCTTGAGGAAGCAGGACGACAAATTCTTGAAGCAAGTCGACAGCGTTGCAGAAAACCTTGCAGAGAGCGAGGCCTCTTTTGTCCAGTTGGTCACGAAGTTCGGCGCAAAAATGCCCCATGACCATCTTTCTGAGTTGACTGAGATGCAGAGGCGCGAAAACACCTGGGCCGCCCTGCAGCTCATGGACAACGAAACGGCATGGGAGGAGCTGAAGCAAGCGGCACGTCGACATGACGCATCATCAGCGCTTCAGAACGGAGCAGCACTGTCAAAGCAAGAATCCTTTGAAGCACAGTTGGAAGCGGGTAGCAACCCCGTCGTCATCGGCATCATTGTCATCGTCGTTGCGATCCTTGCCTTGATTTTCCTCACAGCCGCGGTCCTCATCCCCATCCTCTTGGTTTTTCTTGGCCTTGTGACGGTTGGCATTGTCAAGCGTCGACGCTAGCGGACTCATTACCCACATGTCGCGCCAGCTGAGAAAACAAGGCTCCTCGATTCTCGATTGCCCGTTGCGAATCTCAAAATGGGCCTCGGGATCCCCCCCAGCTCTCGTTTCACCCGAGTGCACAACCAGCAAGACATGCAAAAGCTTCTTTTGGCAGCTACCATGTCTAGCCGTTCTGTGTAAGGAGGACGTCTGTGGGAGAGATGTGAGTTTCAAGCGGGCACGGGTGGCCGAGAAGATCTCAAAAGCTTGAAATTTCAGTAGTTTGTGCAGCATCTCCATTAACGCCACGGCCATGGCCGTGATGGGCTCCTCTCGTGCGAAGGAGCTGAAGGTTTGCTTCTTTCTCTTTCTTCTGGCGGGTAAAGAAGTCTACGTGGTGAATGCAGAGCGCACGGCTGTCGATGTGTTCACGGAAGTGGCTGACTTGCAAAAGGCCGCTGCAAGTATCAAGGAGATCAATCGCCACGGAGCAGAACCATTGTGTGACGGGGTACTCTATGGTTGCATCAATCCCAGAATTTGTACGGGTTCTGGCAAGGTTTCTGAACCATGTGCTGTGAAGGCTGACGCTGACTTGGCGACCGGCTACGCAGCAGACGTGGATGCTTTGTCCGCGAAGATTGACTCCTACGAAAAGAGCCAATCCCTCGCTGAGTTGAGTATCATCGCATATGAGTTGAAAGACATGGAGCAGTATGATAAAGTTCTGGTTGAAAACAAAGGCGGCTCTGTCCTCAAAAGCAAGATCACTGAATTGGCAGACAAAGTGGACCACTACATGGGAACGCTCGCTGCTGCGATGCCAAAGGACAGCTTCTGCTCCATGGTGGATCTTGTAAATGGTTTGAATGAGGCCAAGTCCAGAGGACCAGGGGCCACGGGTTCATCTGATGATTCCAAAGCTTTCCTGAAGAAGGTCTTTCCAGGCATCACAGACGAGGATGTGAGCACGATCATGACTCGAGCAGAGGAGGAGGCTCAGGAGGTGCTCGACTGCGACGAGTCAACACCGGAATGCAGAGAACATCGCTTGAGGAAGCAGGACGACAAATTCTTGAAGCAAGTCGACAGCGTTGCAGAAAACCTTGCAGAGAGCGAGGCCTCTTTTGTCCAGTTGGTCACGAAGTTCGGCACAAAAATGCCCCATGACCATCTTTCTGAGTTGACTGAGATGCAGAGGCGCGAAAACACCTGGGCCGCCCTGCAGCTCATGGACAACGAAACGGCATGGGAGGAGCTGAAGCAAGCGGCACGTCGACATGACGCATCATCAGCGCTTCAGAACGGAGCAGCACTGTCAAAGCAAGAATCCTTTGAAGCACAGTTGGAAGCGGGTAGCAACCCCGTCGTCATCGGCATCATTGTCATCGTCGTTGCGATCCTTGCCTTGATTTTCCTCACAGCCGCGGTCCTCATCCCCATCCTCTTGGTTTTTCTTGGCCTTGTGACGGTTGGCATTGTCAAGCGTCGACGCTAGCGGACTCATTACCCACATGTCGCGCCAGCTGAGAAAAAAAGGCTCCTCGATTCTCGATTGCCCGTTGCGAATCAGTATGCGTATGCGTGCCATTGTGTGCCCAGTCTGCCATAGTTTCGATTTTCTGTGAAAGGACCAAAGATGCAGACCCCGCGTTCATGCCATAATCTTGCAGAAACTGAGAGGACCGGGAGCGGTTTGAAGTCGACTCACAGCTGCAGGTCATCTTCGCAGTCTGGAGCAGTGGCCGTCGGACCATAAAACGGAGCGATTCCCTTCAGCGAGTGTTGAGTCTCGCTGCCAGATCGATTGCGCAGGATCCTATTTCTGCTCTACTGTGTTGAAAGTGAGGGGCAAAAAGGATGATGGAGGTTGTTTTGCTACTTCCAGCCATGAGGTCTGTCCGCCGATTTTTCTCCTCCACTTGGCTGCACACGGCGCAATGAGAATCACATGGCGATCTGTTAAGTGGTGGGTACCACTATATTCCAATCGGATTTTATTTTGTTGCATGTCGTGGCGCCGCAAACCATGCATCATCCTGTCACATAAATGCAGCATCTGCATGTACAGGCTGGAAGAGGCACCAACAGAGGCGAACTCAAGAACACCGACAACGCGCGCGCAGACACGGGCATACAAGCTGTGCCAATGCATGGTGTCAATGGCTTCTGCTGCATCTGGGCTGTTGCCCGCCCTGGCCTGAGCATTAGAGCAGGTCGCGCCTTCCTGCACCAAGTGATGAACTGGCCGCATCAACTGGACGTAGTTTTGGTTTTTGCATGCAGCCTCGTTCTGCTCCTTTGTCCTTGTTCAATACCGTTTTGTCCAGACTGGCAAGATTGTGGGGATAGCCCCGAATAGCTTTCGGTGCTTCGTGTGCTTGCAGGAGTCGAACGGGAGGCAGTGCAAGTGCTGGTGGTGCGAGGATTTTTCGGTCGGTGACCTGCAGAATTCCCTGCACAGGCTATGTCAAAACGATTTCGTGTCGCTGCAGGGCCTTGGAGAAGGAAGCCGCGGACTGAGAGGGACAAACGGTCGCCCAAACCCAAACACTCCATGCCTTTAGGGACACGTTCCGTGAGGCATGGGTTCGGTGAAGAAGGTGATGCACAAGACCTCCGGACAGGTCCGAGGCTGAGGCCAACTCAGAGAGGTGCAGCCGTGAATCGGGGGACCGCTCCGCCCCACCGCCCCGGCGCAAAAGTGAGGTTTTTGCCTTGAAAGCTGTGGACCAGCAACTGGTTCTGGTCCGGGTACTCGTGTACTCTGTGGTGCAACATGGTGTATCGTGTCCATATCACACTTTTGCCTTTGGCTTTTCACCTTCTGCGACCTGCATGAGGACCACAACCTTCAGCACCAATTGATTGCCGAAGTAAGATGCTGAGGATCCTAGTGTTGCAGAAGCAACGTGGGGATTCTCAAGTCGATGTTGCTCCGAAGGTCGAGACGCAGAAAACACTTGCTCATCCCAACCTCCTCAGGCCCTGCACGCAATCTGCACGACCGCACGGTTTGAGTTTTGCCTAGCATGAGTAGTATACAGATGCAGTCAAGGTGCTTCGACTACTTCACGGAGTGTGACACAGTCTGCTCCTCCGGCACCTGCTTGTGGCAATCAGTAGCCCCGTAGGCTCTGACTCTGCTAGGCAAGCCGGCCGGTGTACCGTCTGGGTGAAGTGGCAGGGCAACTTGTGTGGACGTGAGCACTGTTGAGGTGTACATACTCTTGGAACTAGCTTCAGGGGGAGATCTGTATCAGTCAAGAGCTGAGCTGCGAAAGCTTCGAGTGAATTTGCTTTCTTGCTCTCAAGTCCTTCCCTTAAGGCATTTGCGAAGACGTGGTCCGATGAGAGAGCCTCAAGCTGCCCACGTCTTCAGACAGGCCCACTTGGCGAGGTTTCCTACACATGTTCGTTAAGAACTCCCAGCTTCAGGAAGCCATTTCATGTGCCAGTAATGCCGGTGTCCAGTCAGCGGTCCACAGTTTCTCCAACAGGTCTGCGAAGGCGTCAGGCACCTACACGATCAAGGGCAGCCACCTCAACCGCTTGTTGCACTGCACTCCCTCGCAGCAAGTTTGTTCATATAGGTGTCACTGCTGACAGGATCATTCACAGAGACCTGAAGCCGGAAAACATCCTCCTGACGGAGGCAACTCGACTTCGTGAGTCTCGAATTGTTGCATTTATGCATCACACTGATTTTGCCCGACTCCGGCCCACTTTGGTTGCATCTCGCCTCGCTTCTCATGAAGCCACTGTTTCGTGTGCATTGGCGCTGTATGCTCGCAATACCAGATTTCCTGCATGTTTAGTCTGAAAGGGTCTCGAAGCCTCGGGTTCTTCCTACGGACAGCTGGGCGTGTCGTACAATAACAGCGTGACTGAGATTTCGTGACTTCCTGTCTTCTCGTCGTGGTGTGTTCCCACGATCGATGGACGACACAATCATCAAATCTCATCAAAACTTGACCAGGACATGACTGTGAAAATTGCTGATTTCGGATGGGCGGCCAAGGCCGGTGGTGCACGAGTCGTGTCACCCGCAACTGTCGTGTACTCTCTGCCGCTGGCTTCATCGCTCAGGCGGCGAGGAACGACACGCGCAAGACATTCTGTGGCACTCTTTGCATGCTTGCGTCGTCTCCTCAACCCAGAACTTGCGCTCTGTGCCTTGTTTCAAAGAGTTTCTTGTGGAGTTTTTGAGGCCAGAAATGATTGCTGGCAAAGAATACGACGCCAGGGTGGATGATTCATACTCGGATGGTGATGTTGCCGAAGCTGTATTTTGGCTTGCTTGAACTCGCAGAGTGACAAGCCTAGGTTTGGGCCATTGGTGTGGCAGTCTCAGTCTTCAGCCGGTTCTGACATTACGGATGTTTGTATGATGCTGTCCAGGTGCTTCTTTTCGAGATCTTGACTGGGTGTTCGCCCTTCGACAGAGGACAGGGCCTCATGGAAACGTGCAAGCTGTGGGCTCAGTGGCCAGGAACACACAGGATACAAGCCATGATAACTCGCTCGTGGCTGAGGGCCATTGTCGGACCTGGTCTTCAGGCAGTGTCTTTGGACGAGGCCGTCTGCGAGGCAGTTCGTCGTGTGCTCTGGTGTCCCTTCCATTGTGTAGGTGCCGCCGCCGGTTCACCCGATCCTCTTCGGACTCATGCAACAGGAAGCCGAAAACAGAATGTCGTATCTCGGGGCATTTGGTGCTGATGTGTTTGAAGAGCATACTTCGCACTACTTCTTGCCCTGTTGGCAAAATATGTCCTCTGAGGTTGGACGAGTGCTTGCTGAATGACTGGGTGGCAGTCTCAACGCCTGCGAGTGCTGCAGCAGTGTATGCAACGGCAACAAGCATAACGAGACACGGTCAGAGCGACCGAAGGTTGTTGCGCAGTGCAACCTGTACGCAAAGGTCTGCGTGGCATCACGATTCAATGTGCTGCATGTGCATGGCAAAAAAGCCCTTCACAGAACAGCTTGTCCCAACGACAGGACCTTCTGGCCGCAAGAAGCGGCTTCCTCAGAACTCGGAAGCCAGAGCTGGGTTGTTTTGGATGTCAGTGGGGCCGCCGTTGAGTCGTTGAGGCAAAGATACCTTCATTGCTCTCCATTCTTCGGAGAAAAGGCACCAAGACTTGCACTGTGCAGTGGAAGTTTTTCTTCACGGTGATTGCAACAGCATGTGCTTGTGCGAGGATGCCACCAGAAATCGCTGAGAGCGCTGATCCTCCGAAGGCGTCTATAGAAACTTTTCTCCCTGAACGAGATGCCCTCCGACCGGAGGAGTTTTCGGCATCGCAGCCTTCAGAGAACTCGCGGCTGGCTGGAAGTCCAAAGTCCTCGGAGAGCCGAGGCCAAGCCGCACAACACTGCCTCAGCAAACGTGTTTTGGCCTTTTGGCCGCAGGCGGAAGCTCTCCCTTTAAGCAAAGCTCGTCCTCGTCCACGGCTACACCATCCAGTGTCTCTCCCTGCCTAGCCGTCGGATGCCGTCGGGGTTCTTTGCGCGAAGCCCATGCTGCACTTTCTGTATCCAAAATCGACGAGGATTAATTTGGTATCTTGCTGGCCCTTGTGAGGCCCTTTTGTATATTGTGGCTTAGGAGCGATCGCCAACGAACTTTCCGGGGCTCAAGAATGTTTGAGGTAGCCCTGGAGTCTCTTAGATTCGTTCACCAGGGGTTAACCAGTAATTGGTGGGGTCTAGGGTGTCCTGTGCATTGCCGCGGCACTGACTTCGGATCACTCCTTGCCTCCTACTTACTGGGTTTCCTCACCGCCTCTGCTTTGGGCGGTTTCTTCCTCCTTCGACTTTGGACTTCTGCACCCGACCCTGCTCCTGTGCCGGCCCATCAGGTCAGCCCTAGCCTCAGCGCTCGGCGCCGGCTCCGGGGCTACTTGCATGAGCGATAGGGAGGTGCTGGACCTCTCTATTCGACTTAGGGGTCTTAGCCTTAGGGTTAGGACCTCCCCTAGGGGTACCCTAGTTGCCGAGCCTGTCCCCGAACCTTCTTCCCGTGCAAACTCGGAGGGGTCTTTTGTGCTGATACCTCCAGCTCAACAGGTGGTCGACTGTCCACCTTTGCTTCGCCGTCCGCAGACGACCACTTGCAGCGGCACCGCCGCCGGTTCTAGGACTAGTCCCGACCCTAGTGGTTCCCTAGAGGTTGCCGGCTACCCAGCCACTCCCCCGCGAGCTCCTCCGGCCTCAGGCTCTTCAGGACGCGCCTCAGCCAGCCCTGGACTTGGGCCCACCTCTTCTTCCTCGACTTATCCCTTGCAGGCCTCCGGGCCCGGGGTCAGTCCCCCTCGGCAGCCTGCCGAAGACCGAGCATCAGTTGCTGCGTCTTTTCCTCCTGTATCCCTTGCTGCCCTTGACTTGGGTCGTGGGATTTCTGACCCTTCCGGCTTTCGGGTCAAGCGTGCCTGGACCGCCGGGCTTTGGGCAGGAGCCGTGCTTCAAGGACGGGTCCGTGTGCCTGATCGGACC